TCTGAGGCTGGTAACTCTAATGAACTCTGGGTCTTCCATTCCTGTGGCGGTCCTCATGAGAGCCAGTTTCATCATAGCGCTTGATGGTTTTTGCGACTGCACTTGAAGAACCTTTCAAAGTAATGATGGACTGTCGTTTCTCTTTGCTTATTTGAGCTGTTCTTGCCCTAATATGGACTTGGTCTTTTACCAAATAGGACTATCTTCTGTATACCCCCCCTACCTTGTCACAACACAACTGATTGGCTCAAACGCATTAAGAAATTCCACAAATTAACTTTTAAGAAGGCACACCTGTTAATTGAAATGTATTCCAGGTGACTACCTCATGAAGCTGGTTGAGAGAATGCCAAGTGTGCAAAGCTGTCATCATTGATTTGTTTAACACTTTTTTGGTTACTACATGATTCCTTCACTATTATTATACAATGTAGAAAATAGTCAAAAAGAAATACCCTTGAATGAGTAGGTGTTCTAAAACTTTTGACCGATAGTGTATATTGATCTATTTTATTCAGAAAAACATAATGCAAGTCCTTTATACTGCAAAACTTTGTTTATCCATTAAAGTATTTATGGTAAGCAAATTGGATTGTCCCAGTAGTGATGTGTAGAGTTGTAGTGATTGGGGATTTAGAGATATCTATGATTTGAAATGCTAGAAAGTGAAAAGTATTTCATATATTGTATAGATCAATGTCTGTCCACAATTGTATGTCATTGGTACCACCTTGAAAATCACTACAAGGACTTTGATAATTATCTCGTGTCAGTCTGTTATATCTGGTGTTATTCTCCTGTCTTATCCGGTGTCCTGTGTGAATTTAAGTATGCTCCCTCTAATTCTCTCTCTCTCTCCCTCCCCTCCCGGAGGACATGAGTCCTAGGACCATGCCTCAGGACTACCTGGCCTGATGACTCCTTGCTGTCCCCAGTCCACCTGGTCGTGCTGCTGCTCCAGTTTCCACTCTTCTGCCTGCGGCTATGGAACCCTGACCTGTTCACCGGACGTGCTACCTTGTCCCAGACCTGCTGTTTTCAACTCTCTCTCTCTCTCTCTCTCTCTCTCTCTACCGCACCTGCTATTTCAACCTCTAAATGCCCAGCTATGAAAAGCCAAGTAACATTTACTAATGATGTACTGACCTGTTGCAACCTCTACAACCACTGTGATTATTATTTGACGTTTTAACACCTTGGTGAAAAATCTGGCCTTAATGGGCATGTACTGTTATAATCTCCACCCGGCACAGCCAGAAGGGGACTGGCCACCCCTCAGAGCCTGGTTCCTCTCTAGGTTTCTTCCTAGGTTTCTGCCTTTCTAGGGAGTTTTTCCGAGCCACCGTGCTTCTACATCTGCATTGCTTGCCGTTTGGGGTTTTAGGCTGGGTTTCTGTATAGCACTTTGTGACATCTGATGATGTAAAAAGGGCTTTATAAATACAATTTGATTGATTGATTGATTATTGGGGAAGGGGTTTAAAAATAATTATAATACAAATATTCTTGAAAATCGAGGAAATTACACTGAAAATATAAATGCAAAATGTAAAGTGTTGGTCCCATGTTTCATGAGCTGAAATAAAAGATCCCAGAAATGTTCCATACACACAAAAAGCTAATTTCTCTCAAATTTTGTGCAGATATTTGTTTACATCCCTGTTAGTGAGCATTTCTCCCTTTTCAATTCTCTGGCAACATCTCTGGTGGACATTCCTGCAGTGAGCATGCCAATTGCATGCTCCCTCAAAACTTAAGGCATCTATGGCATTGTGTTGTGACAAAACTGCACATTTTAGAGTGGCCTTTTATTGTCCCCAGCACAAGGTGCACTTGTGTAATGATCATGCTGTTTAATCAGCTTCTTGATATGCCACACCTGTCAGGTAGATGGATTATCTTGGAGGAGAAATGCTCATTAACAGGGATGTAAACACATTTCTGCACAAAAATTGAGAAATACGTTTTTTGTGTGCGTATGGAACATTTCTGGGATCTTTTATTTTAGCTCATGAAAGATGGGACCAACACTTTCCATGATGCGTTTATATTTATGTTAAGCGTATGTAGAATATTGGCCTGTTGGAAACTACAACCCCCTAGTATGTAGAATATTGGCCTGTTGGAAACTACAACCCCCTAGTATGTAGAATATTGGCCTGTTGGAAACTACAACCCCCTAGTATGTAGAATATTGGCCTGTTGGAAACTACAACCCCCTAGTATGTAGAATATTGGCCTGTTGGAAACTACAACACCCTACTACATCGCACATTTCAGACTTGATCTGATTTATCTCTACAGAAACTGCACATCGAGCTCACAGAAAAAAAGAACAAAATGGAATTCAAATAATTGAACCAACATCAGTCAATTAGTTGTTTAAAAGCCCAAAAAATAACCGAAATGTTGGTGAATTGCTCAGCACTAACGCCCACTGGTGTTTAAAGTCATTAAGATACCATACTAGTTGATTTAGAATTGTAACCAAATAAATAAATCCATCCCCAGAATACCCATATGCCACCACAACTCAACAATGACCAAACTAACAACCATGACGAAGATACTATTTAGTCCAATTAGGACCCAGATTAAGCCTAGGCCTACTCCTGGACTCAATGGAAAATCTCCATTAAAGTGTTTTTCAATCCAAGACTAGGTTTAGGATGTGTGTCTGGGAAACCAGCCCTTTCAGTTTAAATTATTTGCAAACTGTGGCATATCTAACTTGACTACTGTCTGATGGTATATTTATACTAATGCTAATGGAGATAGCGTGCACACTGCACAGCCACACAGTAGATTCACAGTCCAAGGCCTTCATGTAAATGTAGCTCATGGACAGAGAGCACCACAAACCCCACATGGATTACAGTGATTCTTCAATCCCTTTTTAATTTCTGCCTTGCGGGCTCAGTCTCCATGAAACGGGAGCTCTAAATCAATAAATATAAACATGATTTTTTAGGTTTCATGATAATACCATTAGTAAGCCCCTTTTTCATTGTGATTTGGTCAGTCCTATGAATGCATTCATCAATGCATTAACCCAAATGAGGGACTACAGAGGATTCTTGTTTGGGGCAGTCTAGTTAATTACATTACTTGGGTTGTTTACTAGCAAATTGAAGGCCATTTTGTATGGGATGTCAATGTGAATCTGCAGTATGTCCATGGACACAGACTGTCTGATTGTATATCCAGCAGGGAAGGATGAGTACACAGTGGGGTGTCTGCTCTCTACTGGCATAAAAATCTAACCGCAATAAAAGGAGTGAACGTGGTTTCACCATCATGATCCACGTCATTATTTAGGCCCAGAACTGTACCCATAAAATCGTCTCTGAACTACACAATTTTCCAGCGGCTAGGCCTAGCGGTTGTTTGGATAGGGCCATTGACTTTCCTAGTATTTCAGAACCATGGACAAAGCATTACATTTTAACTTAAGACTAGAGAAAGACATCTTCAGTCAGCAAGCTACATAAAGTATTGACGGGTTCAATCCCAGCTCATTATTTGATAGGATCAGAAGACAAATGGAAATTGGGTGTCATTATATGTTTAGGTCTCGACTCACAATCTGACAGTTCATAGAGACTGCCATCTAGTGGACAATGTCTGACAGCACAGAGAGACTTGTGGACAATGTCTGACAGTACAGAGAGACTGCCAATCTAGTGGACAATGTCTGACAGTACAGAGATACTGATTTCTAGTTGACAATGTCTGACAGCACAGAGAGACTGCCATCTTGTGGACAATGTCTGACAGTACAGAGATACTGCTTTCTAGTGGACAATGGAAGCACTTCCATGACCATAATGTTCAGTATAAGCAGACTACTGCATTGCATCACACACACAACCACCCATCCACACCTATATCCACAGTACACACCAAGGGCTAAACACATCCACACACACAAACAGTAGAGGTGTGCACTAGAGACTGTAGGGACATAAATGAGACAGAACCCAAAGGCAGTTTACTTTGTCAACACTTAAAATGAAATATATTTTTTACAAAACAGAAAAGAAACAGAACAACAATTCATACCGAAGAGCTGCTTTTGTCATTTGCAGAGGGAACTTTACACGGGACTTTAAATGGTAACACTTTACTCGAGGCGGAGAGACATAACCCCTACATAACACACTGTCATAAGCATGACAAAGCATTTTTTTTTTAATGATACGACAGTTCAAGACAGGCACTATGCCCTTCTTACGACAGTGCTCATAAGGCGCTATGTCATGTCACCACAAGTAAAGTGTTATAAAGAGTTTGTCACATAATGAGCTCTTTTAGGATTATTATTATACACACACTGGCTCTTGGCATCACTCATATGACTTACGAACCATCGAAACATTTACACACCATAAAAATGCATCTCCTTCCATTGAACTTAAAACAGTAATACTCTTTTAAGACGACACAGCTTTGAAATGGCGGACCTATAGGAATGGACGTCCTACTCTGTATCCCCTCCCATTCCCACGACAAATCAAATGGAGACAATTTACATACACGGCTCACTATTATGGGCCTGCAGGACTGGAGGGTGTGCATAGGAGTCATAGTCTTCTGCCCCAGCCGCCTGCAGGGTGACCGTGTTAGATTTTGTTTTCTTCCCTCCTTCTGTCCGTCCTTCCAGATAAGAGGGATGCCCTCTGGCTTGGACACCAGTGCTTTGGCGATGACCACGCACACATGCTCTGACCGAGGAGAATCATCGCTTTACAGAGAGAGAGAGAAACAAAGGAGGGGAGAGGGAGAGAGAGAGAGAGAGAGAGCACCTGTTCTCTCCATTGTGCAAACAGATGTAAACAAACAGGGTATGTAGGGAATGAAGGGAGAACTTCAGAGAGAGGGGGGGGGGGGGGGGGGGGGGGTGTGTGCTCCTTCAACGATTTGATTGACAGATTCAGGGACCTATGAAATAAATAACAGGAAGGGGATAGGGGGAGGGGTGTTCACTGCCGAGTTTACTGTGCTTTTCTATCCGCCCAATAGGACGTGGTGCCACTGCGGCAGCGGCGACTGTGCAAGAGGGACCTCCGCTGACTCTGAGGGGCGGAGCACAAAGAGCATGAGGCGACCAATAGGAGTAAGGGGTCAGGGGGGCACACGGCTAGCTTCTGACTGATGATCATAGGAAATGCCTTATACAAGGTAAACAGCAACACAGACACCCCGACACCCATCACCGTGTCACGTTTGTCCTCCTCTCCTTCTCCCCTCAGACAGCAGTCTCTGTAATCATACAAAAAGAAATAAGGTAGAAAATGTCTACAACGTCACCCCCCTCCCTCCCCACATTCAACTTAAGGACCATATTTATTATTTTTCTATTATATATATATATGTATATATATACACACACACACAACAATGTGCCTTTGAGGCAGTTGGTAAGGAGTGGAGAGGAGGGGGACAGTGGGACAGAAGTCACTGTTGTTCTGCAGGAGGACTGACTGAGGTTTCAGAGGCGGTTTCAGTCCTTTTTCATTCATTTTTTCCTTCATCTACACGGTTTCCACAGAGATGTTCCACGGAGATGTTCCACAGAGATGCATTGTAAAAGAAAACCGGGGTTTGTTCGGGAATTGGGGACGAAAGTCAGAGTTTGGTGTTGGTCTGGGGTTGGTTGGATGGATGGTCTGGGTTCAGGGGTTAGTAAACCCAGGACACAGGGACCCACTGGGCGGTGGTGCACACCAGGTTCACGGCCTCCTCCAGCAGACGGATGGTGTCGTCAATCTCGTTGTTGATGATGGTCTGGTCAAAGTAATGGGCGTAGGTCTTCTGGAGGCCCTCTGACTCCTTCTGCAGCCGCTGGAGGGAGTCATCCTGGAGGGAGGAGGGGAGGAGGAGGAGAGGGAAGAGAGAGAGTCAGAATAACAGGAAGAAAATACACTTGTTCCAGGCATTGTGGGAAGGGTAGAGTCACACAATGGAAAGAAAGAGGAAATGGTACTCCCAGAGACTCCAAACTATTGGTATACTCAAAAACAACAAACCATTGACACACAAACACAATACACACACCTATAAAATGTGTGTATATGAGCTAAACTACTTCTACATATCCAGTACTTACAGGCAGTTTCCTGCACCACTTGGGAAGCTTGGGTGCAAGGAGAAAGGCATGCCAAAGAAAAATCAACAGGAATGCACACAGACAGGACACATGCAGTGTGATGGACCTTTCACCACAGCAAAATTACAGAGACAACCCAAAACATGACGGACACAGTAGCAGTGTGTGTGTGTGTGTTGGCCCTAACCTCGTTCATTCCAGGGGTGATGGTGGGAGCTGCGATGAACACAACGTAAGGGGCAAACTCAGCCGTCCTCAACACCTTGAGTGCCTGAAGAGAAACAAGAGATGACTGACAGAAAACTGACTAGTAAGCTACATTTAAAAACTCTCCACAGTATCAATGAACAGGAAGTGTATTTTCAACCGGCAGAACTAAAACTTAGAGCTTAATGAAGGTTAGGTTTAAGAGTGAGGGTTAGGTTAGAGTTAAGGTTAGAGTTAAGGTCAGGTATATTTTAATTTAGGTTAAGGGTCAGGGAAAGGCATAAAAGTTAACATTAAGGTCAGCGGTCCACCATCATTGATTTTCTGCCGGTGGAATATATACTGCTTAATAAATACTGGACTCACAAAAACAACCCCACCCATCTCCACCCCACACAAAAACAACCCCACCCATCTCCACCCCACACAAAAACAACCCCACCCATCTCCACCCCACACAAAAACAACCCCACCCATCACCCCCACCAAACAAACCCCACCCACAACCCCACACAAAAAAACCCACCCATCTCCACACAAAAAAACCCCACCCACGCCACAACATAAAAACAACAACCATCCACCCCACAAAAAACAACCCCCCACACCCCAATAAAAAAACCACCCTCATAAAACAACACCACCACCCCACAAAAACAACCCCACCCATCTCCACCCCACAAAAAACAACCCACCCATCTCCCCCCACATAAAAAAACCCTCCACCCCACACAAAAACAACCCACCCATCTCCACCCCACAAAAACAACCCCACCCATCTCCACCCCACATCAAAAACAACCCCACCCATCTCCACCCCACACAAAAACAACCCCACCCATCTCCACCCCACATAAAAACACACCATCCACCCAAAAACAAACCACCCACACCCATCTCCACCCACACAAAACAACCCCACCCATCTCCACCCCACCACTCCCCACCCACTCCACCCACCCCAAAAAAACCCCACCCATCTCACCCCACAAGAAACAACCCCACCCAATCCACCCCAACAAAAAACACCCCACCCATCTCACCCCAAAACCCACCACACACAAAAACAAACCCACCCATCTCCACCCCACAAAAAACAACCCCCACCCATCTCCACCCCACATAAAAACAACCCCACCCAACACAAAAACAACCACCACCCATCTCCACCCCACACAAAAACAACCCCACCCATCTCCACCCCACATAAAAACAACCCCACCCAACACAAAAACAACCACCACCCATCTCCACCCCACACAAAAACAATCCCCACCCATCTCCACCTCACATAAAAACACCTACCTGTGGTTCCACGTCCAGTATGGAGATCATACCCTGCTGGTGGATCTGGCGGATGGTCTCTAGCCGTGTGCCGTACATGGCGTCCTCGTGACTACCGTACTCCAGGTAGTCATTGTTACTGATGTCCTGCATCATCTGGTCATGAGTCACAAAGTAGTAGTTCTTCCCATTCTCCTCATCCTTCTTTGGAGGTCTGGTTGTGTCTGTGGGGAGAGGGAGAGGGAGTGAGAGAGAGGGGGGAGGGAGGGAGGGAGAGAGGGAGGGAGAGAGAGAGAGAGAGAGAGAGGAGGGAGGGGTGAGTGTGATAGAAACTGATTGGAGGTTCCTACAATCAAGTTCTGTCTTAGTGCATAGATTTCCATGTAGTTGTTGTGATGTTGGTAGTGGTGTGGTGATGGTATTGGTGGGGGTGGTGGTAGTGGTGTGTTAGTGGTGGTGTGGTAGTGGTGTGTTAGTGGTGGTGTGGTAGTGATGTGGTGGTGGTGATGTGGTAGTGTGGTAGTAATGTGGTGGTGTAGTGGTAGTGATGTGGTGGTAGTGGTAGTGATGTAGTGGTGTGGTAGTGGTGTGGTAGTGGTAGTGGTGTGGTAGTGGTAGTAGTGGTGTAGTGGTGTGGTAGTGTGGTAGTGGTAGTAGTGGTGTGGTGGTAGTGGTGTGGTGGTGTGGTAGTGGTGTGGTGGTGGTGTGGTAGTAGTGATGTGGTAGTGGTGTGGTGTGTGTCTTACGAGGAATGGGGTAGGCAAATCGGTCTGGGTGCTTAGTGATGAGCGTGTTCTTGATGTGCCTCCTGCCAACTCCATGGGCCCCTGGAGAGAGAGACATCAGACAAGACAATGAGACAGAGACATTCAATAATGTGTTGCCAACTGTTCCCCTTTTGTTAACACTACCTAAGAACCATCTGTCTAACGTACCCAACAAGACAAGTGTTTTCCTCTTGAACGCAGGCAGTTTGACCACCTCTTCATACGTGACCAGGTCTAGTTGGTCAAACACTGAAACAGAGGGGGTGAAAGGCATTAGAGATGACAGTTCACAGAGCCATAGGAATAATGAAACACACACAATGGAAGGGGGTCGTCTGTAGTGCACAGCACAGTGAGGTGAATCAAATGAATGGCTTAAATAAAGAACGGATAAATCACCACTGAAATGCGTTTACCGATAACTGTGTGAAAGAGATTGTGGTTTGTTTTTGCCATCTAAAAAAGGGCCTAAGTGTGATTGGAATTATTTTAATCACAAGTTCAATACTTCAGGTCTGTGACAGACGGACAAACAAGGACACATAAAACATAAAAACAAGGACGAACAAATTAAACAACGAAATAGAAGTTCAAACTGGTTACTGATGTCAAACAAGGAAAAGAGACTGAATAAAGTAGAGGATAGAGGGAGAGAAACGGAGGAGGGCGTCATTGGGCATCATTCAGAGTTACTTACATGCAGCCAAGCCATTGGGTAAGAGACGCGTGAAAGATAGACAGAACAGAGGGAAGGAGGGAGGGGAGGGTTAATAGAAGAAAACTTAAAATAAAAACATTACAGTACATAGCTTGGACTCGGAGGCCAGGTTGTTAATGGCAGGAGCGTTAGACATGTAACATTCAGTCAACATTGAGACAACGTTTAGAGGGGAGCTCTTTGAGGGAGGAAAGGGGGCCGTTCTGGGGAAAGAACACGCAGCATTAGTCAGACTCATTTGGAAACCATTTCACAGACCGCATGCAGTACAGTAGTAAGCTATGTGATCCAAACATTTAGCTCTACAGACGGGAATTGGTCTTTATTATACAATAAAAATATACTACATTCAGAATTGAGACAATTTTTTGGCCAGTGAATAAAGCTGCAAGAGAATATCAAACAAGGAATAACATTTGAATGCATCATACAATATAAAACACAACGGCAACATTTGGAATATCTAATAGCCAACATGTCAAGCAAAACACTTTTACACACACACGTAGTTCCACTGAATAAATAATTGGTTTCTGATTGTATTACTAAAACATGCGGTGTGTGTGTGTGTGTGTGTGTGTGTGTGTGTGTACCTGCGTTGTGCTTGGCCAGGTACTTGTCTTTGTACTGTTTCTTCTTCTTGCCAAACCAGGTACAGCTGGCCTGCTGCTCCTGCTTGGTCTTCTCCATGGCGATACACGCCACACGCCTGGAGGGGGTGTAGTAAAATGTAAGGAAATACAGATACTTCACTTATTTTAAATCTGTGGTAACGGCCCTTCAAAACCAAAGACCAGCGTCACATTTCTGCTGAATAATTAGAAAAATATACAGCACTTTTCCTATGAGGATTTTTAGCAATTCTTGCATTATAATTTCAATCCACTTCCTGAATTGGAAATGGAATTGGAATGGAAGTACCAACCCTGCCGGGTTGTACAGTATGGGTTCTGTCCTCACCACTCTTGTAGTTCTGGTGACGGTATGAGCCCTGCGGTTCCATTCTTAGTGTTCTCCAGCTTGCCCTGCCACCAGTTGTGGTCGTCCTTACTGATGATCTGGATGATGTCACCCACCCGGAAGCGGATCCCGGCCTCCTTACAGGGGATGAGGTCATCCTTGGCAGGGTCGTACTCAAACTGGGCACGCACGTAGATCTGAGGGAGGAAACGGAGAAACGTGATTGGTCAGGCCCACTGATCTGGGAGGGAATAGGGGGACTGTGATTGATCAAGCTGGAGGTATGGAGGAAAGAGGTGATTTTGAATGGTCAAACTCCTGACGAGAGCTGTATGGGACATTGATTGGTCAAAATGGCCACAATCGACACAGTAAACAAGCAAAGAAGCAGAGGAGGGAAGAAGAAGAAGAAGAAGAAGAGAAATGAAATTAGGCAAATCAAAGAAAGATGTACCATTTTAATCGTTCTGGTTGCCTCCGATTGGCTACATCTTACGAGCAAACAACCAACAATTTTAAATGTAGGGGGGAGGGGGATTATGGACGCCAGCTAATGTTGGATCTACAAGAGCTACAATGAGGGATATACTGCATGGGATCTACTGCTACTTGGATCCACTGAGAGATCTTACCTTGATGGACATTTTGTCCTTGATGGCAGGTCTGGAGATCTAGGGGGTTGAGAGCATCACACACACACATCATGCAGTAGAAAACATACGGGACATCGACAAAGGAGGTGAGTGAGACTGAGGAGTACAGCTTGTGACGGGGGGACAGGGACATGTTACGACAGGGAGAAGGGGACATGTTACGACAGGGAGACGGGTTACGACAGGGAGACGGGTTACGACAGGGAGACGGGGACAGGTTACGACAGGGAGACGGGTTACGACAGGGAGACGGGTTACGACAGGGAGAAGGGGACATGTTACGACAGGGAGAAGGGGACATGTTACGACAGGGAGACGGGGACATGTTACGACAGGGAGACGGGTTACGACAGGGAGACGGGGACATGTTACGACAGGGAGACGGGGACATGTTACGACAGGGAGACGGGGACATGTTACGACAGGGAGACGGGGACATGTTACGACAGGGAGACGGGGACATGTTACGACAGGGAGACGGGTTACGACAGACAGGGTGACTTTGGCAATGAAACCCTTTATCTACACCATTTTTATGTCTCTGTGTCCAATATGAAGGAAGTTGGAGGAATTTGTGTGAGCCAACACTAGCTAGCGTTAGCGCAATGACTGAAAGTCTATGGGTATCTACTAGCATGTTATCAGATACCCATAGACTTCCAGTCATTGCGCTAACACTAGTTAGCAATTGCGCTAGCGCTAGTTAGCAACTTCCTTCAAACTGCACACAGAGACATACAAATGGTATCCACAAGTTCAACTGACTCTGGGTAAGTAGATAAAGGGCCTCATTGCCAAAATCACAAAGTATCCCTTTTATACATGGAGGGGGAATTTAAGATGACATGGCCAAATGATGTTTGACACATACACAGATATAGAGTGCATTCTAAAAGTATTCAGACCCCTTGACTTTTTCCACATTGTTACGTTACAGCCTTTATAATAAAATTGATTAAATTGTTGTTTTTCTCATCAACCTACACACAATACCCCATAACGACAAAGCAAAAGCAGGTTTTCAGAAATTGTTGCAGATGTATATCACATTTACATAAGTATTCAGACCCTTTACTCAGTAATTTGTTGAAGCACCTTTGGCAGCGATTACAGCCTCGTGTCTTCTTGGGTATGACGCTACAAGCTTTGCGCACCTGTATTTGGGGAGTTTCTCCCATTCTTCTCTCAGATCCTCTCAGGCTCGGTCAGGTTGAATGGGGAACGTCGCTGCACAGCTATTTTCAGGTCTCTCCAGAGATGTTCGATCGGGTTCAAGTCCGGGCTCTGGCTGGGCCACTCAAGGACATTCAGAGACTTGTCCCGAAGCCACACCTGCGTTGTTTTGGCTGTGTGCTTGAGGTCGTTGACCCGTTGGAAGGTGAACCTTCGCCCCAGTCTGAGGTCCAGTGCGCTCTGGAGCAGGTTTTCATAAAGGATCTCTCTCTGTACTTTGCTCTGTTCATCTTTCCCTCGATCCTGACTAGTCTCCCAGTCCCTGCCGCTGAAAAACATCCCCACAGCATGATGCTGCCACCACGCTTCACCGTAGGGATGGTGCCAGGTTTCCTCCAGACGTGACGCTTGGCATTCAGGCCAAAGAGTTCAATCTTGGTTTCATCAGACGAGAGAATCTTGTTTCTCATGGTCAGAGTCCTTTAGGTGCCTTTTGGCAAACTCCAAGCGGGCTGTCATGTGCCTTTTACTGAGGAGTGGCTTCCGTCTGGCCACTCTACCATAAAGGCCTGATTGGTGGAGTGCTGCAGAGATGGTTGTCATTCTGGAAGGTTCTCCCATCTCCCTGACCAAGGCCCTTCTCCCTCAATTGCTCAGTTTGGCCGGGCGGCCAGTTCTAGGAAGAGTCTTGGTGGTTCCAAACTTCTTCCATTTAAGAATGATGTAGGCCACTGTTCTTGGGGACCTTCAATGCAGCAGACATTTTTTGGTAGCCTTCCCCAGATCTGTGCCTCGACACAATCCTGTCTCGGAGCTCTACGGACAATTCCTTCGACCTCATGGCTTGGTTTTTGCTCTGACATGCACTGTCAACAGTGGGACCTTATATAGACAGGTGTGTGCCTTTCCAAATCATGTCCAATCAATTGAATTTACCACAGGTGGACTCCAATCAAGTTGTAGAAACATCTCAAGGATAATCAATGGAAACAGGATGCACCTGAGCTCAATTTCGAGTCTCATAGCAAAGGGTCTGAATACTTATGTAAATAAGGTATTTCTGTTTTCGCTTTGTCATTATGGGGTAATGTGTGTAGATTGATGAGAAAAAAATATTTAATCCATTTTAGAATAAGGCTGTAACGTAACAAAATGTGTAAAACGTGAAGGGGTCTGAATACTTTCCGAATGCACTGTACACACAAACGCAGAGACATACACACAGATACACACAGAGATGTACACACACACAAACAAGCAAATGGTGTCCCTGGTATAGACAAAGCCATGTGAGAGATGACGAGTCAGACAGGAGAGAAGACTGGAGGAGTTAGGGAAGGGAAGTCTATAGCGCTCACCTGTCGTCCTTTAGGCTGGATGGTAGAGGGCAGATCCTACACACAGAGTTAACACAGAGTTAATACACTTCTAATACAACACAATAGAGTCATCTGACAGAAGCTATATCAAGCCACAGATCCTCACCAGGATGGAGCTAGTGACGCTAGCGTGGCCGTTGGCTGGCGACTGTCTGGATAGGTCTGGGGACTCTTTCTGCAGACACACATGAACAAAAAAACGTGAAAAACATCCCAACAGAAAATGGCTTATAACTGAAGAATAGAATGCTCCTTTACCCCATTTACCTGATTTTCTAGAGACACAAGAGAATCGGTCCATACCTCGCAAGACATGGACTGGGACCGGTAGCTGGGGACGATCTTAAAGGTAATGCTCCCTCGCATTTCCCTCTGTGGGGACAACATTATGATCAAATGATCACAACCAATAAGTCTTACACTGATACACACATGTATTTGTAGTAATGTTTAAGGACAAATCAAGCTGATTGGACAATGGTGAGAACAACAGAATCTGATTGGACTACACACCAGCATCTTCTGGAGCTGTTCTACGGTCTGATTGGCCACGCTGATCCCGTTGATCTCTCTGATCTCGTCTCCGACATGCAGCGTACCTAAAAAAGAGTGAGGGTGAATGTGGGTTTGTTTGTGCTAGGGTGTACGGCATATTCCAAAAGTGTCCTGTACCTTGTCTGTGTATCATTCCTCCGTGCATGATACGGGCCACGATGCAGTGGTTCAGATCGTTCATCTTCAGAGTGATGCCCTGAAGACGTCAAGGGTGGAAGGTCAAACAGGAAGAGTCAGTAAATGTGTATGTGTGGTCGGTGTGTGTGTGTGTGTGTGTGTGTGTGTCGTACCATAGGTTCGTCAGTATTCTTCTGGAACTGAACCAGGCGTACTCTCGTCACGTTCTCCAGGTCCATGTCTCCGTTGGTGCTCTCGGGAGAGTCTCCGTTCAGGTAGGGTGAGGTGGGCGGGGGGGTCACCCTCAGAGCCTCATCACTGTACACCTCATGGGCCACCACATCATGGGTCTGGAGCAAGGCCTACCCACACACACACAGTCATTAAACATGGATTATACTGGATCATGCAAGTCTACTGTAAGACACACCCTCACACAGACACATCTACAGCAGACAATGAGTGTGCAATATGGCCTTTTAAACAACAGGGGGCACACAAGGTACATAATATAGCCTGTTAGTAAGGAAGAGACTGAGGACATGGTTATGGGGGTCACATACAGAGGCATGTGTTTGAGAGAGAGAGGAATGTACATGGAACAGAGAGCATGGCTTACACTAACCCTCTTTCTGACACCACCGATTGTCACTGACACACAATGTGTCGCAACACCTCCCTACCTACTACACACACACACACCACTGGTAACTTCATAACCTGCCTCCTATTAAAACAGAGCAGCTCCAAGACATTTCAGCTGCAAGGCATTATTTGCTTGGCCTTATGAAACGTGACTAATAAAGACTGGGTAAGCTACTATGGGTCTACAAAAAATACTTGTATCCAGATGGAATATACGTTTTTTTAAAATCTTGTGTCACCAGGTAAGGGGACCCACACCTTCTTTAGCCCAAGCCACTGTGTCAGTCTTTAGGCTGAGCGAAAAGGAGAGGGCTCCCAGCGTTGAGATGTCAGTATTTGTATCAGAACAGAAATACCCTCTGGGTCAGAGACTAAGCAGAGGTTAGAGGATGGACAGCCAAACACACCTCAGCTTTAAAAAGGTGCACTACGCAGAAATGCTCTGCCATTTCCTGGTTGCTAAAATTCTAATTGTTTGCCTAATTTCGGTTTATGTGACAAAACAAGCAAGTATAGTGCAGAGAATCACTGTACCATCTAAACCGCTGTGAAATATATTTTCCATCACCAAAAATATTGTATTTTCAGCTGTTTGAAGCTGGTGTACAAAACCGAAAGTAAAAGATGCAAAAACGAAACTTAAGAATGGGAAGCATAGAAATGGCACACATAGAACAAATCTACAGCTTCTTAGACTCACTTTCAATGAGAAAGACAGATAAATAAATAATAAATAGGTCATTTAGCAGACGCTCTTATCCAGAGCTACTTACAGGAGCAATTAGGGTTAAGTGCCTTGCTCAAGGGCACAGACAGATTTTTCACCTAGTCGGCTCGGGGATTAGAACCAGCGACCTTTCGGTTACTGGCACAACGCTCTTAACCGCTAAGCTATCTGCCGCCCTAGGATCTATAACTAACATTTCTATGTGAATTTGGTCAGGCTGCCCAAAAGGTTACATATTTCAGCTTTAACTGTAACATACAGCCACAGATTTTTCTGCCATTGAAATCCTTGGGCGGGCCACCTAAGCGTTTTTTCGGGCCGCCTAAGTCCCAAAAAAATGTCAGCATGGAAAAAGCTTTCAGTTTAAACTTAAAAACGACTAAAGCCAGACAAAGTATTTAGAAAAGATAATGGACCAATATATTTTTACATTATAATCTTTGAGAACTAACAATCACCAAAATAAAAGCTAGACAGTAAGGAAGAACAGAAAATTCCCAAAACAATTAATTTAGCAGAATAGATGTTATTATGTTTGAGCAAAATAACTCCACATTAACCATGGCAAAATACATAGAATTGCAGGAAATTAGCTTTAAAACGGCTACATTTTCTCTCAGTTCCATAGCAAAATGTGTAGAATTGCAGGAAATTAGCTTTAAAACTGCAAAAATGTCTCTCAGCTCCATGGAGAAATGTGTAGAATAGCAGGAAATGCTAAACCTTCTCTACACAGCCAAGATGTGGACCTGTAAAATGTTCCCTAAAATTCAGCCGCGCCGACAACGCCCATTACCACGACCCCTGCCACGCCCACCCCCTAAGCCCCTTTTTGATCCAGAAAAAACCCTGACACCAGAGGAGATGAAGAGAGAAAGAGGAGAACATTCCAGAAAAGCAGACCGTTTTTTTCTCTTATTCTTTTTTTTAACCTTCTATTTTGACTAATGAGTCCTTCCAACTCAAGTGTTTAAAATACAGAATGTAACCCCCTAACAGAAAGCAGTCTGTACACCATAAACCCCAAAATGGAGCAAAGTATGCAAAACAACACATCCAAGTTCCCATGTGACCTAAGGTAAGTTAAATCCCCTTCAAATAAAAAGTTTGATTAGATTTAGCCAAGACCCCATGATCCCAGTTCCTCACCAGTGATCCCACTAGAGACAGGTCCGTGGCTGTGGCTCTGCTGTTGACCTCTGCTGTTGCTGTAGCCCCACCCATAAACCTGTCTGCTATATCTGACAGCCCCTCCCCTTTGTCTTGCTGATCTAACAGATTACTCCCTCCCTCCATACCTGGTGGTCTATAGTGGACAAACTAAGGAGCTCGACCCAGTCATGATCATTTGTTTACACACACACACACACACACACACACACACACACACACACACACACACAGAGAGAGAGAGATGGAGATGACCCACCATGAAGTGTGGCTGTGTGAGGATCCTCCGGAGTTCCTTGGCCTCCATGTTTTCGGGGTAACAGGAGATTGTCTCCAGTACCTAAAGGAGAAGAGAGGAAGTACAATTATAGTATCATATAAGAGCTTCAACACTTAATGCAAAACATTAACAAACCCCAAAATGAATACTAACCAAAACAACAAAATAAAGTCTTTGACAAGCACTAGTCCCACAAGAAAAGAGGTGTCGTGACCAAGGCCACTCACCTCTTTGGCTCTCTGTACTCCATCACTGGGAGGGTTTCTGATCTGAGGAGACGACCTGGTGTTGATCTGGTCATAGAGCTGGGACACCAGGGAGAGAGACATTATTATTCGGTCATCTTTCACATATCCTTCCTAACATAACATTTTTTTGGTCTTTTATGTATTAATGGTGCTTTATAAATAAAATGCATTTTCATTCCCAATGAATAATGTGGTGTGTCTGAGCATGCATAGCCCTTTACCTGTGTCAAAGTGCCTGCCACCTAGTGGACTTGACATGAAACTGCATGTGTGTGTGTAGCCCACTCACGTCCAGCAGTGTGTGTAGGTGCTGGTCCTGGAAGACGCTGTGTAAGAAGTCCAGATCTTTCTCACTGCAGTCGGTCAGAGCATGGATCTCCTCCAGGCTGTCCAGCACCTGAGATACTGCTCCTACACACACACACAGGTTATAAAACACACACACACAGGTTATAGAACACACACACACACACACAGGTTATAGCACACACACAGGTTAAAGCACATACACACGTACACCAATTATAAGTAGCCAATACTGTAAAAACAGAAAGATTTAGATTTAACACAAACAAAAATACATATAACGAAAAACAAGGACAAACACATTTACAGACACCACACAGCTAGAAACAGAAGTGTTAGGCTAGAGTACCTGCTACATGCAGCGAAAGCAACAGAGACGGCAGAACAGGACGGGACAGAACAGAACAGAAGTACGTCCCATCATCAATATGACAGATTAGACACAGGAAGGAAGGAATAAACCATATCACATGGGATGGAGATAGATGGTATGGAGGTCATGTCATGTGATGGGTTAGTTCAGGTTAGTGAAGGCTGGATCTAGAGATTGTATGGAAGACTAAAGTTAGTTGCCATGCTATTTTAATAAAATAGAAAAACACTGCACACATAGAAATAGGTTAGAACATTTTCAGCTTGTCCTCAAAGGTCATGACAGGTCCAGATTGGACGCGCCACTGACAACGGTTGTGATTGGATCAAATGGAAGCCGTGCAGGCACGCAGCCACCTCATTGGCTGTCGGTGGTGTGACATCACAATGCACACAGAGTCTACTTCCCAATACTTCTGGTTGGCTTCCTGTCCATCTCACCTTGGAGTTCAATTCGCCCCATCAACTGACACAGAGTCAGATATTGTTTCATCCCCCAAATAGGTAAAGTGAGGAAGTTGTTTTAGAGTATTGGGATGCGAGTCATCAAGGGTGCTACAGGCAAGCAGAGGACCGACGGGGGGGCGGAGGGGGTAGTTTAATAGATGGTGATGATTTCATGATGATGTCACACCAGGAAGCTACGTGGGGATACCTACTTTCAGCGGCTAGCAGTCCTACAGAGAGCGCCGCATTGCAACAAAACCACAGAGAAGAGAATTGAGAGAGGGGAAAGATTTAGAAGACAAGAGAAAGAGAGGGATTGTGTAGAGAGAGAGAAAAGAGGAGGGCAGTAAGGATGAAAGACAAGACAGAGAGAGAGAGAGAGAGAGAGAGAGAGAGCAAAAAGGGAGAGAGAGAGATAGAGTAAGCAAAAAGCAGAGGTTGTGTTGACTCTAGAAGTGTCTGGAGCTGTGGGCATCTGGCTAAAGTAGCAAAGATGCCGTTCCGATTAAAAAAGGTCCTTTACTCATACACTGCTCCCCCCTCCCCCCCTCCCCTCCTAACACACACACCCCACAGGAAAGTGAATTCCATCCCTAAGCATTTTCTTTTTAGACTTCAGCACCATAAAGGACACTGACTGTGCAGAAAGGAGGGCAGAAATAGTCACAAAACAGAGTGATGCAATGAGGCTGTCTGAACTCACAAGAGGAAGACCAGACTATCACCTACATTGTCTCTAATGCTTTTTCTATGACCCACTCAGTCTGACTCTATAGCGCTCCCATTTTCCCCAAAGTTTGTCAGATGTTTTCATCCTGAAAAGTGGTCTAATGTGGAGCCCACGCCACGTCACACTGTCTGTTGTGTAGATCCAGCTATACGCCTTAATCCCAAATGCATGGGAAGGATAGGCACCATTTCATTTGACCATTTTAGATGGAGCCCATCTAAAAGGCATCTAACTAGATCTACAAACCAGATCACGTGGGACATGCACTCATCACAACATTAGAGCCCTTTTTAGGTCTGAGAACATCTGACAAACATAGCATTCAGTGCAGTAGGCTATTTGACAGAGAGGGCGGCAGGTAGTGGTTAACCCTTTGTTCCCCCATAGATAATGTCCATAGGAAGTGAAAGTGCATCCCCGAGACAGAGACAGGGAAGTGAGGGCATTGGGCAACGCTAGCCTGGGCACCTCTGTTTCCTTTTTCCACCAATCAGGGGGATTTATAAAAAGACAGAGGCTACCACAGAGACCAGGGCCTGAATGTTCCACTGCTGTTCTGATCTGAACACTGGATTGGTTGTGTGGTTAGCTACTGCCTGTGTCATCTGATTACCAGGAAATTAGCTAACGTTGAGGCTTGGTTGAGGTTGAGGCGCTTACAAAAGTGATAGAAATGTGAAACCATCATCATCGTTCTTACATGACGAGCATCCTTTTCTACAGAAGTTGGCTATAGTTGTAGAAATCTATGAGAAGTGAAAAATCACCAGGGGTGTGCTTTAGGACTGTCCGTGGGACAATGAGCTAGCAACACAAACTACGAAAGCGATTGTTGCCATGACATCCGTTCCACTGACACAGCTCGGCTTGGGAGGAGAGCGGCGGGTCTTACCTGAGGAGGTGGGGTCTTCAGAGAAGTCAGGCATCTCCTCTGGTGGGTCTCCGTAGAAGGAGTTAAACTTGTGGCTGGAGACAGCAGCTAACACTGCCCCCTAGGACAACAAAGAACAAGAATGGATTGACTGATTGGATGGTTGATTAATTGGTTGGTTGATTGACTGATTGGTTGACTGATTGATTGGAAGATCATCACTTGTGTGTACCTTGAGCTTCCTCCTTGCGTTAAACTTCCTCAGCTGCTCCACCGTCTCTGGCAGGTGGATCTTGTAGGCATACCTGTCCCTCTCCTGGAGGGAGAACACACACACACAGAGAGGTGAACGCCTGTCCCTCACATAGAGGTGAACGCCTGTCCCTCACAGAGAGGTGAACGCCTGTCCCTCACAGAGAGGTGAACGCCTGTCCCTCACAGAGAGGTGAACGCCTGTTCCTCACAGAGGTGAACGCCTGTTCCTCACAGAGAGGTGAATACCACACAACACTAATAAAGACAAAACACTAACAGTTTCCACTCAATAAACTAGACCGTATTCTCTGGGTTGTGAAAGTAGCTGATGCAGGGGTCGGTCTCCTGCGGGGGAGGAAGTTATGAGAAAACCAACAAATAGCCAAGTGTTAGTTTCATATTAGGTTATAATCAAGGTCTCTCTATGACTACGTGTTAGAGTTGAGGTTAAGGCTGTGTCTGCAACTTCAGCATCGTGCAGACAGGGCTTTGAGTGTGTGTGCAAGCGTGCAAGTGAACGAGTGTGTGTGTGTGCGTGTGTGTGTGTCTGCATGCGTGTTCCCACCTTGAGCCAGGGGTGGTTGAGGGCCTCGTAGACAGTGATCCTCTCTGCAGGGTCAAGCATGAGCATGCGGCGCACCAGGTCCTTGGCGCTCTCTGAGATGTGGCTCCACTGGCGTGGGTTCATCTAGAGGGGGGGCGGGTCACACACACACGCTCTCAGATGGATGTAGGGCTGCACCACCCGGGGGTATGCCGGCTACGTTTATCACCTTGGACAGTACATACCTTGAGCTTTTTAACCTAGCTATAGATATAAGGAACGTTGCCAAGTAAACATACCCCCCACAGAAACAGAATTAGGACTGTTCTATATGGTACATTCTGAATGCTCTGTACGGGCCTTAAGAAGGACTGAGGCAAGCCTTAGCTTGTGGTTGCTAACCACGTGCAATGACCAGCAGCCACAGGTTTCACATCCGCCCCTTTCTCTGCCTTGTAGTGTGTGTGTGTTAGAGGGCAGTTTTGGAAAATCAACTACTACCTTATATTTCCCTTTAATGATAGCCTCAAACAGGCGTTCCTTGGTGCCGTAGAAGGGCAGGCAGCCAGACAGCAGGATGAACAGGATGACTCCACAGCCCCACACGTCTACAGGCTTACCATACGGCTCTCTCTTCACCACCTCTGGGGCCATGAAGTGGGGGGTGCCTACTCGACCTGGGGAGGAGGGAGGGTTAGAGTGTGGGTTTACACACAGATACGAGAGAGGGAGAGGGAGAGGGAGAGAGCAGAGCAAGAGAGGAGAGCGAGAGCAGAGAGCGAGAGAGAGCAGAGCGAGAGAGAGAGCAGAGAGAGAGAGAGCAGAGAGAGAGAGCAGAGAGAGAGCAGAGAGAGAGAGCAGAGAGAGAGAGCAGAGAGAGAGAGCAGAGAGAGAGCAGAGAGAGAGAACAGAGAGAGAGAACAGAGCGAGAGAGAGAGAGAGAGAGAGAGCAGAGAGAGAGCAGAGAGAGAGAACAGAGCGAGAACAGAGCTAGAGAGAGAGAGAGAGCGAGAGAGAGCGAGAGCGAGAGAGCGAGAGAGAGCGAGAGAGAGAGCGAGAGAGAGAGCACATAGCTAGAGAGAGAGAGAGAGCAGAGAGAGAGAACAGAGCTAGAGAGAGAGAGAGCAGAGCGAGAGAGAGAGAGAGAGAGAGCAGAGAGCGAGAGAGCGAGACGAGAGAGAGAGAGAGAGAGAGAGAGAGCAAGAGAGCGAGAGAGCGAGAGAGCGAGAGAGAGAGAGAGAGAGAGAGAGAGAGAGAGAGAGAGAGAGAGAGAGAGAGAGAGAGAGAGAGAGAGAGAGCAGAGAGCGAGAGAGAACGATAAATCCACAGTCAGTATAGAGTACCTCCTGCCACCAGGCCTGACTCTCCCAGCTGTATGGCCACTCCAAACCCCCCCAGCTTGACTGGAGCTGAGTTCTCCTTAGAGGCCAGCAGGACACAGTGAGGCTACAAGACAGGACCAAGACAGAGAGAGATGGAGGGATTGGGTTCAACATTTTGTACCATACTATTCTAGTAAAACCTTGATAGTGCTGGACCAAAAGGCTGTTCCTAGACAGGACTAAGGCAGAGAGCTACAGTCCAACTGATAGTTAAGGGAGGAGAAAAGAAAGGAGGAGGACGACACTGGACAGATCGAGAGAACACCAGAGAAAGGAGGAAGAGAGGAGACAGGAGTAAATAGAAGAGATTGCGGATGAGTAGCAGAGTGCAGCACTGGAGTACGTGACAGTCAGCCTCTGTGGTCTCGCAGCGCTGGTTTCCTCCGCCTTGCCTGCACATCACTCTGGAGGAGAGGGGGGAGGATGGGGTCTGTGGTCTGACGGCTCTGATAGCTGCTAACAGCTGACAAGGGGCTGGTGGGGGGAGGTGGGAGAGAATAACATCTCGAGGCACAGAGAGAGAGAGAGAGAGAGAGAGAGAGAGAGAGAGAGAGAGAGAGAGAGAGAGAGAGAGAGAGAGAGAGCGAGAGAGAGAGCGAGAGAGCGCGAGAGAGAGAGAGAGAGAGAGAGAGCGCGAGAGAGAGAGAGCGCGAGAGAGAAGTGAAGAAACTCAGACAAGACATCTGAACCAGAGAGAGGAAGATAGAGAGGAGGAAAGAGAGCGAGGGAGGAGAGCTCAGAGTAGCAGATGCAGTAACAGACTCGTACTTTTGAGCAAAAGAGACAAAGAAAGAAAGGTGAAAGGTGTGTCGGAGAGTAACGAGAGAAGTCCCAACACTATCCCACAGAACCTGATAACCAAGGGACAGCAGGACCAGGGGCTGTTAAAGGATATGGAACAATTCACACACTCAAACTACAGCTGGAGAGTCTCTGACATGGAGGGAATCTGGATGGTGAGTGAGATCATGTCTTCATAAAATCATCAGTGAATCGGTGTGAGACTACTAGGCAGGCCACGTTCTTTACTTGGTGCTAAATCCAAAATAGGTCGTAGGTACAATACAATAATTGCACTTCAAGTAGTGGTTGATTTTTCATTACTTATTTTCCTGCTACAGGGTAGTAACTTGAAAAACAACTTGAAGTGGTAAAAGTTGTGACATTTCAAAATAGATTAGTTACTTGAGACTACAGTGCTTTGTCAATGCAAACCGTATCTGCAAACCGCCAAAGTCCTTTCCTGTTAACAGCCCACAGCTTTGACATGTCCGTTTTTCATCCTTATCAATAAAAAACATCTCTCCACCCCCGCCTCACTCTCTCCCTCTTTTCTTCACAGCACTGAAAATCTGCTGGTCCTAGAGACACCCCCGCCTCGGCACAATGACCACTCTTCTCTCCTCCCCCCTTTCCACCTCATCTCCCCTCTCCTCCTCTTCCTTCCCCCTCTCCAATGCCACCCATCCTCTCTCTACCTCCTCCTCCTTCCTTTTCTCCTCCACCTCCTTCCCCCTCTCCCCCTCTCCAAACCAGACCCTCTGTAATCTAGATGACGGTGCACTGCGCCTCCCCCTGGTCTTCCTCTACTCCCTCTTCTTCCTCCTGGGTCTGGTAGGTAACCTGCTGGCCCTGTGGGTCTTCCTCTTCCTCCACTCCAGAAGGAACTCTGTCCGGGTGTTCCTCATCAACGTGGCTATAGCTGACCTGGTGCTCCTGGCTTGCCTTCCCTTCAGAGTCCTCTACCATGCTAATGGGAACCGCTGGATCCTCGGCCCCCTGGTCTGTAAAGTGGTGGGCAACCTCTTCTACATGAACATGTATATTAGTATCACTCTGTTGGGGTTCATTAGTCTGGATAGGTATGTGAAGCTGAAGGGGCGGGGCGGGGCGGGGAGGGGCCTGGCCAGTAGGCTGAGAGGCGGGGGATGGAGCTGGGTGGCGTGCGGGGCGCTCTGGGGGCTGTCCCTGGTGGCGGCCGTGCCCATGATCGCCATGTCGGAGGGCAACGAGGAACCTGGGAAGTGTTTCCAGTATAAGCAGCGGCGTGGGGCGAAGGGGAAGGCTTACTTTAACATGGCTCTGGTGCTGCTGTTCTGGGGAGTGTTCTGCCTGCTGGTTGTATCCTATGGGAAGATAGCCATGCGCCTCCTTAAGGTGTCCAGGGATAAACCGGACCTCCCCAACGCCCACCGCTACGGCTGCACCGCCAGGAAGTCCTTCTTCGTGCTCTTCCTGTTCACCGTCTGCTTCGGGCCCTACCACGCCTTCCGCCCAGTCTACGTCCTCTCCCAGCTCAGCCAATCCCCAGCCTGCGATTACTTGCGCCTGGTGGACAGGACCAATGAAGTCATGTTGTTGTTCTCCGCCTTCAATGCCGTCCTGGACCCTGTGATGTACTTCCTGTTGTCGGGCTCGGTGCGTAAGGCCGCCGTGAAAGCCCTGGGACAGAGCCTCGGCAACCGGCTCCACTTCCTTAACGACGGGACCTCCAACAGCTCGGTAACAGAGTTCAGACGGACCTCTCTGTCCGTCATCTCCCCAAACACCGCCATTAACCCCTCCCACACGCCCAGGACCAGCCTCTGTCTGATTAGCCCCACCCTCCGTCCTGGCACAGCCATAGTGGCAAAGCAGTGACTTTACAGACTTCATTGTTTTACTTCATGGGCTTTAACTCTATTTCCATTATAATGTATACCATGTACTAAACAACTGAAGTAGGTGACAAGGGCCAACGTCTAGAACTAGGCTCAGTTACCTATAATGGAACGGACCAGATTTCCTGAATCAAAGTTATATAAATGCCTGTGTCCGCGCTGTTTGTTAACTAATAGTCAGTAATATGTGACACAATCGTATCTGATATAACACTGTACAAAGTCAATCAATAAATACATGTGAGCTTAAATGGTATAAGATGACAGTTTTGTACCTACAAAATGAAGGACAGGAGGTCACTGAAAAGGATTGTAAAGTAGCCTTGGGGTGAAAACTGAATGACTGATAAGCAGCATACACACTCCCCTCTACTGGTTGTATTACGTACTACCACTACAGCTGTCTAATACATTTACATTTTAGTCATTTAGCAGACGCTCTTATCCAGAGCCACTTACAGTTAGTGAGTGCATACATTTTCATACTGGCCCCACGTGGGAAAAACGAACCCACAACCCTGGCGTTGCAAGCGCCATGCTCTACCAACTGACCTACAGGGGACTAATACTCACACAGGCACCATGACACACACACACTGAAACACAAACACTGAAACACTGTCTGACACCCACAATTCTTACAACCCAAATCATAAGTATTCAAACAGACAAATACACACACACCAACAAACAAAAATACACCTTGCATATAAACACCACATACACACAACACAGGGGGGGAGTGTGTAACTGTGTAAACACACACTCACACACTGACTTACTGACATTGGTATTAACACACACGCAAAAGCTCCCCTTATCCCCTCTGGGAGTCACTAAATGTGTCTGTCTGTGTCCATCAGACTAAAGTAATGGAGCAGGATGGACAGTGTCTGTCTGTCCAATGAGGCCCGTGGGCAGGGCTCGCTCCATCTGGTCTGGCATTGTGGCCTACTGTATGTTAGAGAGGTAATCCTGAAGCTGTGCTTTCTGGCCTATCAAACAGGGTTTCAGCAGGGTTTCCCCTTACACTACACACTAATCCAGCCCCAGCTTAACTCACCTTCATTCCTAGTTGGCCTACTACTACTACTGCTACAACCCAATGGGCTGATGGGTCAGTTATCGTTGGGTTACTCAATATACAAGAATATACACTCAATACGAGAAGACAGACGGTGGATCACCAATGGTTACGTCATTATGTTTGAAATCAATAGATGCCATTAGAAGAAGTGTCAACAGTGCTGTTTAGATAAGGGGGACGTGGGACTGGAGATGTGGGGTGGGGGAGCTTACCTTCACGTCACGGTGAATCACGTTGTTGTCATGGCAATACCGCAGCGCCTCCAAGATCTGTCTCATGTAGTGACTATAAGACAAGAACGAAGAGGGAGGGAGGGGGAGAGAGAGAGAGAACGAAGAGGGAGGGAGGGGGAGAGAGAGAGAGAACGAAGAGGGAGGGAGGGGGAGAGAGAGAGAGAACGAAGAGGGAGGGAGGGGGAGAGAGAGAATGAAGAGGGAGGGAGGGGGAGAGAGAGAATGAAGAGGGAGGGGGAGAGAGAATGAATGAAGAGGGAGGTGGAGAGAGAGAATGAAGAGGGAGGGGGAGAGTGAGTGAGGGAATTAGCAACTCTGCTACTTCTTAGAGAGCTCCTTCTAAAAGCAGTTCTAATCACAGGCATGTAGAGTCCCCAAGGTTCTCATCATCCTACCACTGAATACAAGGCCACTTACTCCAAATGAGGCCTTCGGTGAAAATGTCAATTGTGACGTGTGTTTAACTGGCTACGGCTTCACTGTAGACAAAGCCCACATCAGCCCGCTTCACAATTTCAAAACAAGTCAGCTCCGTCCATACTGGAGCAGCAGAGAGGAAATATGGGAACGTAAGAGTCAAGTTTTTACCTGGCTACGGCTTCACTGTAGACAAAACCAGCATCCGCCCGCTTCACAGTCTCAAAACACAGGTCAGCTGTATCCATACTATGTCAGAGAGGTAGAAATCACATAAGATAAAACTTTATTGAATTTGGATTACACCGTTAGTACAGAAAGTGAATAGGGAGGGCCCACTCCAAAATATCAAGTCAATTCTAGAACAGAAATTATACAATTTAGTCCATTCTAGAATAGAAAGTCAATAGGTGACCATTCAAGAAACAAAAAGGCCAAAACACAACCAACTTACAACTCAAAGACCATGTAGAGCATGCCATCTGAGCTGTAGGTTTCTAGTAGCTCTACGATGTGAGGGTGCTTCAGCATGTGACAGATACTGGCCTCTCTCTTCAGATCTGTGGAGGAAACAGGAGCGATAAGAGATGGAACCCATTTTCCAGCATTGAGATGCATCCGTTTGTCCTCTTTCCTCCTTCTAGGTGTATCCCCTCATCCCCCTGTTTTCCCTGACCTCTCCTCCGCAGTGACCCAGTTGGCAAACTCCAGTCGGAGCGCAGGAGGGAGGTTAAGAGAAGAGGAAATACCTCCGGCACTTGTTCGTGTTTTCATTCCCTCTCTACCCGAACCACATAAACATCAAAGGAGATTAACATGGAGGGGTGCACGTGTGCAGGCAGGGAGGCTTGACTGCAGCGCGGGAAGCACACACACACACACACACACACAAGGAAGCAGCAAAGACTAAGCAGCAGAAGAAGCACACATTACACACACACACACACACACACACCGAAGGGGGTGGAAATAGTTGAAAAGTGAAGCTGTGGGAGCTCATGTGGTACTAGAGGTCTGGTCTGGAGTTGGACCCAGTCAGACACAATGCACTGTTGTTCTCTTCTGTTCTGCAGTTCACTTCACCCTATAGAGACCTCATTTACACACTCCCCTCCAGTCTACTAGTCTGCAGAGACCACGAACGTGTGTGTGTGTGTGTGTGTGCTGTGTTGTGACGGGCCTAGCTCATGACGCAAGACCCAGAGACTCCGTCCTGATTCTCTCACTATCTCTGTGTTGAGTCTCTCTCTCTCATTCCTCCCCCCCCCCCCTCTCATACACAGAAGAAGAGTAGGAGACCATGAGAGAGAAAAACAGAACACATCATGATACAAGGTAGTAACTGAGGAGGGTATAGTCTGACAGTATGGACTTAGTGGGCAGCGCAGCAGCATAGATGTGCTCTCTATACGCGCTCATTCATGTTCAATGAAGCCCACAGTCTGATTGCTAACTCAAAATGTCACCGCACACAATTAACACGACTGTTTTCTGTGAGTTTCTGTAAAACTACAGCGGGAGGGGAGGGAGAGGTTAGTTTCATCGGGGGTCCAACTGTCTTTTCTGCCAGCGCTGTGGGGGTTTTAAATGAAAGTGACATTTACGAGTTCCATTCAGCACAACTCTTGAGCTAGAAATGAACCTCTCAGCATTCAAACACAGTGGAGGGCCTCTCCCTCTAGCCTTCTCTCTACTCTGTTGCTCTACCGCTTCCTCTCTACCTTTCTCCCCCTCTCTGATTAGCACGTATTCTCTCCCTCTACTAGGTTCTTCCAGACCCAGACTCTCTCTCACTATCAGTTTACTAGCTTCTTCCAGACCCAGACCCTCTCCCTCTATCAGTTTACTAGGTTCTTCCAGACCCAGACCCTCTCCCTCTATCAGTTTACTAGGTTCTTCCAGACCCAGACCCTCTCCCTCTATCAGTTTACTAGGTTCTTCCAGAACCAGACACACTCCCTCTATCAGTTTACTAGGTTCTTCCAGACCCAGACCCTCTCCCTCTATCAGTTTACTAGGTTCTTCCAGACCCAGACCCTCTCCCTCTATCAGTTTACTAGGTTCTTCCAGACCCAGACCCTCTCCCTCTATCAGTTTACTAGGTTCTTCCAGACCCAGACCCTCTCCCTCTATCAGTTTACTAGGTTCTTCCAGACCCAGACCCTCTCCCTCTATCAGTTTACTAGGTTCTTCCAGACCCAGACCCTCTCCCTCTATCAGTTTACTAGGTTCTTCCAGACCCAGACCCTCTCCCTCTATCAGTTTACTAGGTTCTTCCAGACCCAGACCCTCTCCCTCTATCAGTTTACTAGGTTCTTCCAGACCCAGACCCTCTCCCTCTATCAGTTTACTAGGTTCTTCCAGACCCAGACCCTCTCCCTCTATCAGTTTACTAGGTTCTTCCAGACCCAGACCCTCTCCCTCTATCAGTTTACTAGGTTCTTCCAGACCCAGACCCTCTCCCTCTATCAGTTTACTAGGTTCTTCCAGACCCAGACCCTCTCCCTCTATCAGTTTACTAGGTTCTTCCAGACCCAGACCCTCTCCCTCTATCAGTTTACTAGGTTCTTCCAGACCCAGACCCTCTCCCTCTATCAGTTTACTAGGTTCTTCCAGACCCAGACCCTCTCCCTCTATCAGTTTACAGGTTCTTCAGACCCAGACCCTCTCCCTCTATCAGTTTACTAGGTTCTTCAGACCCAGTCCCTCTCCCTCTATCAGTTTACTAGGTTCTTCCAGACCCAGACCCTCTCCCTCTATCAGTTTACTAGGTTCTTCCAGACCCTCTCCCTCTATCAGTTTACTAGGTTCTTCCAGACCCTCTCCCTCTATCGCTATCAATATTTTCACACACACAAACAATTCTCTCTTTCCATTTCCTTATGTTCCGGTCCTTGGCTCTTGGGCCCAGCTCTGACCGGAGCTTCACAGATGGCACACCATGAACGCCAAAACCCAGGGCACTGCCATCACAGTGTGACACACACACACACACAGAACAGCATGAAACGGCACGAAACTGCGTGGAAAGTTAGTATGCATCAGCGCTTTACCCAGACACACACACACACAGAGTGCGCTTTACCCAGACACACACACACAGTGCGCTTTACCCAGACACACACACACACACAGTGCGCTTTACCCAGACACACACACAGTGCGCTTTACCCAGACACACACACAGTGCGCGAGTGTGACTCTTCCTTACCCTCTGTGCTGAGGCCAGGGCTGGAGGTGAAACTGGCCACGTCTACGATCTTCACCGCAAACTGCTGCCCTGTGTCCCTGTTGATACAGCGCCTCACCACACTGAAGGGACCCCTGGAAGACAGAAAACACAGTGGGTTAGTCACGTTTACACACACACACACAGCAATTCCAGATCTACACCAGTGCCTTAGGAATAGGGGGAAGGGGTCGATTTGGAATTCATCCTTGGATATATCTGGCACCTTTACATTCTCTCTGTTCTTCCCTGTAGGCCTTCAGTAATCACATTGCAGTAACAAGAACCCAACAGCCATGAACAGCAGGTGGTAGCAGTGGGAACAGCCCTGAATATGATGGAGCCTATTTGAGGGAGCATAATGCTGGAGCTGTAGCAGCTAGCGACGTAGCCTAGCCTCCTCTCCTCCGCCTGGGGAATTACAGAGCAGTGGTGAGCACAGCTGTGAAGACTAAAATAAAAGCCCCATTCCAGAGGCCTCGAGGCAGGGAGAAATAGCATTGCTGACAGGGGCCTTGGACCAGGGTGTTGGGTTTGGGTTGAGGATACGGTACGGCAGGGAAGTGTACTGGGCATTGGGCAAGGTTGGAAATCCCAAAGGGACTGTGGGGCGCACACACACACACACACACACACAGAGGAAAAACAGTAGTAGAGGAAATAAACCCAGAACAAACGCACACATTTACACACACACACACACACACACACACACACACACACACACACACACACACACACACACACACACACACACACACCCTCGCACGCAAGTCCCCATTGCACACTGTGCTCAGCTGTCCCGCTCAGTATAATCTTAAAGGCTGTGGCAGTGACACTGATGCTGACAAAGACGCGTGACTGAAAGGCATCTGACAGCACACACACATGGAAATAAGAGCCATCACTAAACAGCAATGCATAAAACTCAGTGGCAGGGATTCCAACTCCATCATAACAGAGTTAAGGCTAATTCATAAAAGTTTCCTATAAAATAGGCCTACAACCTGAAAGCCTATAAATACTAACCAATAGGTAGGGGGTTACAGACACCATGTGTAGGCCTCTCCTACTATAATGATTAACCCAGCTCTCTGCCTCTGGTGGGAGGGAGGGGGAAGACTGACCCATATGCTAAAGAAAATATCCCCCAGACATTACTCAATCTGTGAAAACAGTGCAAGACTCCCTCAAATCCCCCCCCTCCCCCTCTCCGGTGGGGTTGAAAGACAGCCCTGGCTGACAGCCGTTTATCTCATTAAGACAAAGGAAGGAAAGAGGCACAAGCTGAAAAACAACTGCTGGTTCCCTTCCACCCTAGCTCCTCCTACGGTGTAACACTGGTTCCCTTCCACCCTAGCTCCTCCTACGGTGTAACACTGGTTCCCTTCCACCCTAGCTCCTCCTACGGTGTAACACTGGTTCCCTTCCACCCTAGCTCTCCTACGGTAAATGGTTCCTTCCACCAGCTCTACGTGACATGGTTCCCTTCCACCTAGCTCCTCCTACGGTTGTAACACTGGTTCCCTTCCACCCTAGCTCCTCCTACGGTGTAACACTGGTTCCCTTCCACCCTAGCTCCTCCTACGGTGTTTAACACTGGTTCCCTTCCACCCTAGCTCCTCCTACGGTGTAACACTGGTTCCCTTCCACCCTAGCTCCTCCTACGGTGTAACACTGGTTCCCTTCCACCCTAGCTCCTCCTACGGTGTAACACTGGTTCCCTTCCACCCTAGCTCCTCCTACGGTGTAACACTGGTTCCCTTCCACCCTAGCTCCTCCTACGGTTTGTAACACTGGTTCCCTTCCACCCTAGCTCCTCCTACGGTGTAACACTGGTTCCCTTCCACCCTAGCTCCTCCTACGGTGTAACACTGGTTCCCTTCCACCCTAGCTCCTCCTACGGTGTACGGCAGATTGAAGGGACAGAGGAGGTGTAAGCAATAAGGTGTGGGCTACACCTAGCCTTCATATGGATTATGATTTTATTCTACCATATTGTTAACACCTAGGTCTGCAAACACTGTAGTGGTGGTGGGGTTGGAAAGTAATAAAGGGAAATATATTTTTTTAAAGGATATATTTTTTTTAAGGATATATATATATATATATATATATATATATATATATATATATATATTTGCGAGAGAAAAAAAACATGGGGGATTGGAAGTGATGCAGACAATTACATTGATGGAAGTTACAATCTATCTGCAATATTAAAGCTGATCTACCCTAAAAAATTGTTTTTTGAAATAATACACAAACAAAACACTGAAGTGGTAGGGAATGGAGGTAAGGGGATGGGTGTAGAATTGGACTGGACTAGTATTGCCCAGCCTAAGCATCAATAAACCTACCATAATATCCATGACACTGTGACGAGCCAAAGGCCTGGGGAACTCAGCGAGGTTGGAGGTCAATTTCATCTCAAATCAGCTCAAGAATTCAAATATCCTCACAGAAGATGATAGACTAGCTGCCCAATTTGAATTCGTGAATCGAATTGCAATTCATCCCCCTAGTTGCCGAATGTAGACTGAGTGAGTTCAAATGGAACTGACCCCGCCAAACCCCCCACCCCTGGAACGTGCCAAGGCAAGCGATCACACGCAGGAGTGTCATTCCACGGGGGAAGGAGTGCAAGGAAGGAGAGAGAGGGAGGGGGAGAGTCAGTATGCACTCTTTGATGACATAGGCACAGCTGTGCTCACAACATGGGCCTCCTCCCACGTTCAGCACACCCCTGCAGTGTTAGTATTACCCTAGAATTTGCCCCTCCCCTCCCTCGCTAGCTCGCTATGAAAGATGCGAGTGTTTGTGTTCTCAGAAGTACGGCAACTAATCAGTCTTGTTTTCTTTCTACTAAATGTCTTGGTAAATCACGGTATTTAACAAACTTTAAAGTACTTTATTTAGGAGTGATCTGTTCACAGGCAGCAGGTAGGCTGGCAGCTCCAGATTATTTGATTGACAGTTCTGGTCGCCTACTGATGGACTTTAGTCCCCCTTCAGAAGCACCATTCCTTTACAGACAAGTAAAACTCCCGTTCAGTGGCGCTTCTAAACCACCATTGTACTCCACCATTGTACTCCTGAGTGGCGCAGTGGTCTAAGGCACTGCATCGCAGTGCTAACTGTGCCACTAGAGATCCTGGTTCGAATCCAGGCTCTGTTGCAGCCGGCCGCGACCGGGAGACTCATGGGCGGCGCACAATTGGCCCAGCGTCGTCTAGGGTAGGGGAGGGAATGGCCGGCAGGCATGTAGTTCAGTTGATAGAGCATGGCGTTTGCAACGCCAGGGTTGTGGGTTTGATTCCCACGGGGGGCCAGTATAAAAAAAAAAAATGTAATCACTAACTGTAAGTCACTCTGGATAAGAGCGTCTGCTAAATGACTAAAAATGTAAAAATCTCCAGAGAAGGTTTTGTGTCGGTATTTAAAAAGCTGTAGAGTACCCTTACAGACAGACATGCCGTAGCCAAGGCGCTTTCAATGGTGACTGCGGTAGATTTAACGTCATTGCCCGGTCCTAGCGGTCATAATGGGACCATTATTCTGCATTGTGAAATGACGTGAAATGTGTATGATTTTTTTCTTATAGTTTTAACGGAAAACCGATTTCAAAAATGACTGTTTAAATGGCAGTTTAAACGTTAAGCAAAATTGTCAACTTCTCACATCCCTAGTAGTGAGGAGTAAGGGAACGTTGCCTTGCATTGAAGTAGGCTAAGAATGTGACTCATACTTACTCTTTTTGTGTCAGAGTCCGATTACAGTCCAACAATGGTGTTAAAAACAACGAGGCGGAGTTCATTTAACTAGTCCCCGATGCCCAAACTGTGTAGACACTAATTGCGCCAAACACCTTCTAAAATGCCAAGTGTCTTGAGGTAGGAAAGTGGAAGAACACACAAGGCCCTAAATATCTGCTTGGTTTAATTTACTGGTTACTTGAAGAGAACAACCTTTTGAATATTCATGGTGGGGAATTAGTATTCATCCTGCTGCACCGGAGTGCGTCTGAAATTCACAGGCCGAAATACCTCCAGGACATTCAGCCAGTCTCAGAGCAGAGATATCCACTTCTCTCCCAGACTCAAGTACGGTAGTCTGAGAGCTGAACTACCAATTAAATGCACCCAACCATCGTGTTTCTTTTACCTACAACATCCCTTTCAGAATCAGATCAGATTGTGTTACGTAAAAGAGGAAAACGTATGTAGGGAGGTAAGGAGAGAGGAGGAGAATCAAAGGAAAGAGAGGAAGAAAGCAGGCAAAAGTACATAGAGAGGTAAAGAGAGGGGAAGGAAGGAAGGAAGGAAGGAAGGAAGGAAGGAAGGAAGGAAGGAAGGAAATTAGGCACTTTTTGGGAAATAACCAGAGTCAGACACTGGAAGCCCAGGAGCCCTTAGACAAGCAGAGACCAAATTCGATATCACCTCCGAGTCCGCTGTTCTCAGAGCAGTCCCCAAACCCATTGGTAAGAATAAATCAGCCAGGCCAAACTCCCCAGAGTCCACTCTCTGTTAGGAGCTGACCACACACTTCCTGACAAATAGTGACGACAAGAAACAACGAGAGAAGAGAAAGTTAGAAGGAATCTAGAATTCTGAGAAGTGCCTCGGGAGGTGTTGGCAGATGGAGAATCTTAACAGCATGCCTAGAGTCAGTTACATTACTCATCTCATCATAATGGCTGAGGTGGAGAACAGTTCCTAGACCTGTAGATGAGGGTGTAGGCTAAACTGTCTGTGAATGAGTGGGCCCAAGACACATGCACAGTACAGGAAGAGGAAAGACGGTGAAGGGTTTGTTGTTATGTTTGTTCAGGGATAGCTTAGCTTTCCTATGTTCTATCAGTAATGAATGAACTGAGTGTTACGGTTGCTCAGAGAATCCATTAGAGGCTATAAGACACACACACACACACACACAAATGGTAGTTAGCTTTATGTGTAGCAAATGTGTTTATTGTATGTAGAGCTATGGATTAATTAAGAAAAACTGCTTTAAAAAAAACTGCTTAAATTTAATGAGATCAATGCGATACAAAGCATTAAAACGTAGGCTAGGCTAGCAGTTGATGTGTAATTAGCTGAGCCAACGCGAGCCAGAGTACTGATCACTCCACCGGTTCCTAGCCATTCTGACAATATTCCAATCCTTCCTGGCCCTAATGAGTACCCCAGAGCCAGAATGGAGAGCCACGTGTGATCCCAGTTGCACTCGTCTGCATTACTATTCCCATGTAGAGAGAATCATTATGAGCAGAGACGGCTCAAATTACCCACGCCTCGCCCATCCCCTTCAACTGGAGCATAAATGCCCGGCATGAGCATGTCACTGTGTTTTACTGAAATATAACACACACAATGGGCTAATAAGTAGGATTGCATAACCCGTTTGCGTGAGATTTACTTCTCTCAGACAGATAAGGATGCAGTGAAGAGTAAGGCCTTGTGCCATCCTTTGTCAGAATAATGGCTGAATAGGCAATGGGCCTTAGTTCACTGCTCATTTAGAGGGTCACGCCTAGGCTACTGTGCTTTGTCCAATCTGTTTATGCATTTGTTTTTACCAAAATTATTCAAACTAAATCGGAAGATATCTCATTTTTATATATTTTACAAAGGTTTGCTTCCAAAAGCACCAGTAGGCCTACTCCCAATGGTCCTGCAGTAGACAAATAGCTAAGCAATTGGTCCGAGTAACTCAAATAATGTCTACCAATACTCTCAAATGGGTATCCGAGTAACTCAAATAATGTCTACCAATACTCTCAAAAATGGGAGTCCACGTCTCCTTTTAACTTTCTTAAAGGAGGAGAAAGGAGAGGAGAGCCTGGCACTAGCTGGCCGTCAGCCAACTGTGTATGGATCCGGAGGAACTCGATTCCAACAGAGAGCCAGGGGGGGAGGGTTCCATTCTGGTCGATTCAGAATGTTCCAGATAGTGAGACTGAACACCCCATTCAGCTAAGTGTACAGTAAGCTACACCTCAGAGAACAATGAACATACTGTAATAGTCAACTAGCAGGTTATCGTCAGAGCTTGACCCTACTGGCAATCCTCCCCACCCACCCAGTCACCCACACAGTCACCCACCCAGTCACCTCCCTTGACTCCTACACAAGGAGGATCACAGACAGAAGAGTAGAGGCGGACACTACAATGGAAGTGTGTGGTGGTGGTGGTGGGGGATAATTGGTCTGACGTACATGTTTACAAGGGGAAAATATCAAGGGTCAACTGGTGAGTCAAGACAAAAGATGAGCGTATCTGATGGGAACGGTCATCTTCATTCTTCAGAATGGATCCCTTTTTCTGGCAGATGCTTTAGTCATACTGTACCGGGGTGTTTCCTAGATTAAATGTTGTGAGATACTGAACGAGATCTGGAAGCAAGCGCTATAATTAAGCAATAAGGCCCGAGGAGGTGTGGTATAAGGCCAATATACCACGGCTAAGGGCTGTTCTTAGGCACGATGCAACGCGGAATGCCTGGACACAGCCCTTAGCCGTTGTATATTGGCCATATATCACAAACCCCCGAGGTGCCTTATTGCTATTATAAACTGGTTACCAACGTAATTAAAGCAGTAAAATTTTTTTAAAATAAATGTTTTGTCATACCCGTGGTATATGGTCTGATATACCACAGCTGTCAGCCAATCAGCATTCAGGGCTCAAACCACCCAGTTTATTAAAAGAGATTAGGTAGAAATAACAGAGAGATTAAAACACTCCTCCAGCTCAGGAAGTGAGGCGAAACAAAGGCACAGTCATCCCAAAGGCCTTCTGCCAACCCCAAACCTCCACACTGTCGGCCAACCTTAGACAAATTACAGCGGAGGTGTGTTGCTGTGCGAGTGTACTAGCCCAAGACAATTCCCTTATCAGCTAACACGAACACCTGCATATGTCGCTGGTTGACATGTCTATTTACACTATACCAGACGCTGTCGGCGGAGTGTCACACCTACTTCGGTAAGTGTCACCACACCATTTCAATTATTATTATTATTTAAAAAAATAAAAAAAGTTGGTCATTTTAGCAGACGCTCTTATCCAGAGCGACTTACAGTATCATTCACAATCATTCACAGATCTACATTGTCAGTCAAATGTCTCTCGTCAAAAAAAAAAAAGTATGTTTTAGATCACAAACATCCTCAGAGGGCTATAAGCCACATGTGAAGTGAGCATTCCATTGGCAGTTATTGTTAAGGCTACATGTATGGAGGCAAATCTGGTAAACACATCCAGACTATATTACACTACATATGGGAATGTTGATTCTCAGAGCCATGCATGGAAGCACAGGCAACACTAGAAGCGGAAAAAAAAAAATGTTAGGCTGAAAAATCGCATCCGACTAAGCACAGCCGTCACATGGTGACAAACATTTGTTGCCGTCTCAACGCCGCTTTAAACGTCCCTGACTATACAGACCCTTGAGTGGCGAACACAGCACATCTTCAGTTCATCGAACACTCCCCATGCACTAACAAGGGAACGAAAACGTCTGAACCAATTGGAGCAAGGGATAGCAGGAGAGGAGTTCTAAGCCTCTGTTCGTTGGTTCCCTAGCTCTTCTTGACAGGCAGTGTGGTTTACAGGAAGAGGTCAGCCCTGGAGTGCGGCAGCGCCTTGCTGACATTAGTTATATATCCAGCCTCGGGGCAATCCTATTCCTAACCCTCCATTGTCTCCAATGATCTTCCTCAGCCTCCCCTCCCTTCACCCTGGGCTGAGGAAAATGATCCCCAGCTTTCAGCAGGAGAGGCTGGCAGAGTTCTCTACCTAAAAAGACACTGGCTGGTACTCAAAGTGCTTTTGTCTGACAATCGCATAACTGTCAAACTAGGCTACATCGCCGGTGGAGAGAATCGATTTGGAATCGTGCTTTTTTGTTCGGCTCTCTTTCCCAAAGCTGGGATATGATCAAGTTTATAAGAAAATATTTGCTTCACTAAACCGAACCTGGTGATGTAGAGTGAAATAAACAAGGTAGCGTAGCTGTTTGGGTAAAATACCTCCTTGTGCCCTGACAACTGAGTGAGAAAGGAAGGATGAAAGGAGGAACAAATGATGTTGGGAAAGGGAAGGTAGGAGGCCATGAAGCCCTTTCTGATCATGCTGCTAACATAGTCACGGTGTACGCTCCACTGACTAGAGGCCCTCTCTGCGTTGCTGCACCAAGGTATGCCCTGGGCGGCTACTTATTTAACAGCTGTCCCGAGACCAGTATTGTCACCCACCTCATAACGTCTAACACTAGGACTGGGTCAAGTAGACCAGATCCTAGATCAGTCACTGAGTGAGGAGTAAACCGAAGCAGAGAGCGCCCCCAAACAAAGAGTAGAGCCTGAGGGGCTGAAGAGCAATCAGCATGTGTCTCAGCCTGGACCCTAATGGACCCACAGATCTCGACTGAGCGTAGAGGGGGAGGGGAGCTAGGCCAGCTCCAAGACTACAGCTGCCTGCCTGCCTGGTCTCCATATGAAGGGGTGTGATCATCAGCCACAACAATGGCCTGCACCAAATAGAAGAGGCCCTCTTCAATCAAAAACCACCTTGTTCCTGCAAGAATGCATCTTAGGATTTATGTGCTCTATAAATCAATGTTTATAGTATGAAACAGATAGAAAACTGGACTGCACCTGGGCCTATCAATTCTCTCAGAGTTGGAACTGGGAAGAAGGCGCTTTAAACATTTGGTCACTTATTCTGGAAATCTCGTAACCGGTTTTTACTGAATTGGCCTAAACCCAGAGTTGCTACTTTAGATTTTAGACTAATTGTCAATCTAGGGTTAAATTAGGTTGCCTCCTAAGTCTCTTTGTTAGACAAATCCAGCCTAAATAGATCAGGGATAAACAAGATCATTAACTGCGTGTGCAATGCTTAAAAGCCCATCAACAATAGGATTGGCCACCTCTGGTTGGTGGGGATCAATAGACTGGTCTGCAATTGACAGGGCAGGAACAATGAGTACCAGTGCGTGATGATATCAGAACACAGGTGCAGCCATAGAACACAGCAGTATACCCAAAACACTGAATGTGAATCTATTCTGGTGAAGAGGTTTCATCCTCCCCAGGAGCATTTGCTCCATCTCTTAAAGTAGGATCAAGAAGTAGTGTGTGACATCATCGTAATGACGATCTGCAGCCAATGTCTTGTCCCAAATGGCCAATGATACTCAATGATTATGACTATAATAACCCTGCATCTGAATCTGAGAGAAGAGTGTAATGGTGTTGACTGTAGTAGTTGTGGAGATCGTTATAGGCCTAGTTGTAGTTGCCAAGCCCGTTTACATTTCAACTTAAAACTAGAAATGGCCCAGCTTTTGAAACGTATAGAGCCTCTGTTCCAAACCACAAATGTGTCACTAGGCCTATTTGTAGTAAAATAATAAGATGTTATATTGTCATATACACCGGATAGGTGTGGTGAAATGCTTTGTTTTACAGGGCCAGCCATAGTAGTACAGCACCCCTGGAGCAAATTAGGGTTAAGTGCCTTGCTCAAGGGCACATTGACAGATTTTTCACCTTGTTGGCTCGGGTATTCGAACGAACCAGTGACCTTTCAGTTACTGGCCCAACGCTTTAACCACTAGGCTACCTGCCGCCCAGTACCTCCTCATCAAAATAATTTGTGTCTATCTGAGAAAGCTGAATGGATGCACAAAACATTAATGAAGTAGTGCCTTCTCTTCATCTCTGGCACTGGATCTAGATTTGGAAATGTTTTGAATATGCGTGAGCCAATTAACTTCAATTTGGAAAGCTATATTCTCTCCTGCCATGGTAAATTAAGATATCCTACCCAGATAAAACAATGCACTTGGCTCTTGAACTAAACGGGGGGCTTCACCATACATTATGGGGCTTCACCACACATTATGGGGCTTCACCAAGTCAGTAGGCCTAACTGGTTTCCCATTTATTGAACATATGCTTATTGAACTCGTTAGTGTGTAAGTGATTTTACATAGGCCTGTCAATAGATGGGTAGTGTGAGGTTTTGTATGACCAACTCACCTACAAGTAGGCCAAGTAAAACAGCTGTCATGATGGTGGTGGGAAATAATATTTGTAAGGCAATTGCTTCCATACAGAAAAAAATACAGGCAGAGACACACACATAGAGCAGGGCATCTCGCAATACAATGCATTCAATGCAAACAAGAGGTTTCATTTATTATCATTGTTCAGTTCATAAAAATATGCTGACACTTACTTCCCAATCACCTCGCACAGCTCGTAGACATCCTCGAAAAGCACGTCGTCGTCCGCCATGGTCCAAAGCAAACGGGGATGCTACCCCCGTGAAATTCGCCCCACACGGTATTATTTGTAGAGAAGCCAACGGCCTCAAGTGTACAGCTCTGACTTATCCTCGTTGATGGAGAGGGGGAACTGCCACGGAATACCCCAGCAAGCTCTCAGAATTCCAATGGTCGAATAATTCTTGGTTCCAAAATTAATTTCCCAAATGGAAAACCGATGGAGAAGGTAACGTTAGCCAGCTAGCTAGAGCGCTAAACTACATGCGCTGGGTTTAGCTAGACCGTTTTTGACACTCCTCGGCCCCACCTTCTCCTTCTCTCCCGGCTGGTTAATCCAACGACCAGAGCCGAGGGCGCGGAGATTTTTCTACGGTTTGCACAAAACACACCGCTTTGCATGCCCCGAGATTGTATCTTCGGTTAATGCCTAAGTTACCAGATACCTCTTCTTGTTCGATGCATCCGATGATGCCTCTGCCCGAGAAGGCAGCTTGCTCCCCCGCAAGCTAGCTGGCTAACTATAAAATGGTTGGCTATCTCCTAGCTATCTGGATTTATTTTACCGTTTGAAATAGCTTGCTAGCGCCGTTATTGCGCTGAGCACACCCAACGTATCACATATGTCTTGGAATATTACCGCACATGCAAAACAAAGGTTGCAAACAGCTCAGCTACCTGATCTTAAATCAAATACCTTCATGCTTATCTCGTAAAATGTGCATTCATGTATATTTCGTTGGTATGTTTGAAATAAGATATTATTTCGTATTCCAGTCTTCTTCGAGCACCGTTGCTCCAGTTTTTACGCTGTCTCGGATGCTGCTCCTCCGGCTTCGAGAAATGGAAGACTCCTCCCTCTCTAGGTTACGAAACTGGTGTGTGGAGAGCCATAATGGCTTCGTAAGCGCGCTCAGGCTCCTTGCTAATTCCAATGCCACTTGAGCCAAGATGCCGTTCAGGGCACCACCCTCCGAGTCCCCCAAGGCGCAGTTTCCTAATCGGTTTCACACTCCCCATTCCACCAATCCACGGTCGCATTCAATGCACCGCGCGCACGCGTTGACACCATCAAAAGCCCATCACCTTACGTCAGCGTTTCCACAATCTTTTCCCTTCCCTCTCAATAATGTATATAGTGTATTAATTATAACTTTCCATCTGATACAGATTCGTCTGGACCAGTATTGCACGTCTGTAAATAAGGGTAACAAAAAAGGACCAGCATCCATAGCAGCATTGGACATTATTTTGCTGTGCTGCTGCAACATAAATGGGCCTATGCATTACACGCCCGGATGGGTTAGCAGAAGAATAAGAGATTTGAAGTGATCTCTGTTGTTCAGGTGTACGTTGAGAGATATTCTCTAATAAGAAGTGATAAGAGACCTGACAGATATTAGACCTGTTAGGCATAGTCATGTCACAGCCTCATCCTGGATCTGCCACTTCGCCTCTCCGCTAAATGTATCTAGCAGCCTAGTGCTGACAGGGAGGGGCTGGTTCTACCTGTGGAGTTGCATCAGATGCTGTCTGATAAGAATTAAACAAAATTGGTAACTTGTTGTTATAAAAGTGTATGTAAAATGTATCAGAAAAGCTGTAAAAACAATAAAAGATATGTGTCCTCCGAAGAGGATGGGTTAATAAAAAATTAAAATAATAATAATAATAACTTGTTGGTACCAAAGCTGCTTAGTGGTTCTTGTTCTATTGAATCCCAAAGAAACAACCACGTAGCCTAACTCATAGGTTATTGCAATATAACTACCATTCTACCACGTACCTTTTCAGTAAATACCTGGTAATTAATTGGCTTAATGGCATTGAATGCACTGCTTTGCTTTTGACTGATCCCTGGGCCACATTGTTGACACACCTGGGCCAATGTATTTGTATTATTCGGCCCCAACTTCACAGCTGAGTGAGTCACTCTGGATTGGTTGATACTGCCCCCTTGAGGTGGTCATACAGAACATAGATATATTATTAAATTACTAGAGGGGTTATGTCATAAACCCTAAAAGTTCCAGAAGGGGGTGAAAATGGCAGCCAGGGAGAAATCCAAACCAATCTAATTGGAATGAATGGCAGTAGAGGCAAAATCCTGATTTTACTTAGGCGGGAAAATAAAAGTAAGGCATGTGATATCAGAAATTGTGTAATATAATTATTGTCAACCTAAAATATTGTCATATAATTATAAATACAGTTTTCTTCAAATTCATTATTTTACACAATATCTTACAACAGCACTGGCAAACAATGGTTAACCAACTCCCTGACCAAAATGGCTGACCTTATGCCATCATAAGAAGGTTCATGTCCATTCTAGTATTCTAATTCCTAATTCTATGATACAGAACTCCAAATCTAGATGCAATGCAGGAATAATATGATAATATCACACAGGTAGAATTATTTTCATCCAAGACTCACTAGTCATAGGCTCTGTATTATACCCCAAATACTTTCCAAATACATAAGAAATACATTTACTTTCACATAGAATCTTCCTTCGGAAACAGAAATATGTTTCTGTCTACCCAGGCTGGCATTATTATGACAAATTCACTCCAACTCAGAGAGAAATGATCCCATTTTATCCATAATAATTTTTTTCTCATGAATAATTTCTGTAATAGGCCTAAAATGGTCCCTATCTATCAGTTGTTTAATAAGACATGCTCCATATAAAAAGGCAGCTTCTCGCTATACAAATTACTATGAATAATGAACATTGTTATTCTAACATGCATTGGCGTTTCATCTCTGACTTTGTCCACTAACTAGTACTACAGAGAGGGTATTGCGTAACCATACTAATGACAGCTCTCAACAAACTGATTGTGACAGAGTTAATTATTGCATGGATTGGACCCTTTGCACCCAGCTGCCTGAAGGCATGGATTATGTTGTATCTCAATCGTATAATTTATTTCCTGTCTCCTGTCTTTCCTCTACTAATATAAAGTAACTGCACTGGTGAAAGCCAATACCTAGTATATGCATACACCATATCGAATTCGCCTTTCCTATTTTTTCAGATCAGTGCAGATGAAGGAGATATGGGGAGAGGTTTAACTATGAAGAGGCAGCCCTTAGGTTACGATCAATGGATGAATAACTCCACAATGGCTTTGAGCAGCCTGACTGAGGTGTACTGGTATCTGGTGCCACTAGGGCGAGCTGTTATTGTAAAGCGTCCCTTGCAGTTTCCATGGCGCTCGTACTCTGGCTTTACCCTACTATTGGTTGGATCTATTGGGGGCTATTGATGATCCGATTGGTTGGTGATGTGGTCATCGGATGGTGGAGAGTGGGTCTCATCTCATTCCTCCCACTCTAATATCCCCCTCTACCCCTATACCATTACACATGGGCACACTCACAGATAGACAGAGGGAGCAGGATAGAGGTCAATACAAAGAAAAAGGCAGGACTGGAAAGAGAAAGCGAGAGGAACGGAGAGAGAGAACAGAGAAAGAGAGTTGAAAAGAGGGAAGGCCACACCACACCACAAGAGAGCAAGAGGAAGAGAGAGAGGGAAGGAGAGAGCAGTTTCCATAGCAACAGGGAGGGACCAGTGGTAGTGTGGTGCTGGCAGCTATAGTAACACACAGTAGAGAGAGGTACTCTGGTGAGGTAACATCATGGCTGCCTCTGTTTTTCAGCTTCATTCAGCTCAATGGACATTGAACAGTCATTATTTACACAAATCAATATGCCTCTGACAGGACATTATGAAATTACAATAAATCAATACAATTTTATTTGCAAGAAGGTTTTTTCTCAAGTCAACTGACAAAGAGTACTTCATAAAACCCGGACCTAACCCCCTAGCTACAGAAAGCCTATCAGGCCTAAACCCCAATTCAATGTGCATTTAATATAAACCAAAACATCTTTAATTAATTAATTAATTGATATTGTACTCTGTGACAGAGGTAAACTGAACACAAAAAATGACAATTGGTCCTTATTTCAGATTGATTTGGTGAGTATCTTTGGTACATGCAGTCCTTTCAAACACGGAGTTCACAATGTAGATGAAGACTTTGTGGTGAATTATCTTAGTATTGTGACAAAGCTCATTCATTGTTGCTGTGACATGCATGGTAGTTATTACAGAACCATCCTACATGCTGAAGCAAGGAAGCATCCATTTCTATTCACATCATAATATCTGGATATTTGCATTACCGGAACTTATAGGCAGCGTTTACACAGGCGGCCCGATTCTGATCTTTTGCCCATTTATGGGCAAAAGCTCTGACCTGATAGATCAAAATATCAATAATTGGGCAAAAGATCAGAATTGGGCTTCCTGTGTAAATGCATCCATAGAGTTACTGAAATCTGAAAAGTCACGCTGACTTTAATGATCAAAATAAGTATATTGTTGGGAAGTTAAAAGTGTCAAGATAGACTGTTAATCCACTCAGTGTGTACACACCAAGGCCTGATTGTATGCATGTCTGCCATGCAGTCCAGTGACCATGCACACAACTGTTTACATTGCTAACCAACAAAAATATGGCAGCTTTATTTGACAAAACAGAAACATAAGACATATCCATACAGTTATGGTTGGTTATCAAGATTTCAAAACAGCATTCAGGAAGTCAGAACACAAAACATTTTAGGTTAACAGCAGTAAGAGGTTAACAGAAACAAATGGCACATCATACTCCTGACACGTAATATTTAAATAGTTAAAGACATAATATGGAGCAACTCATAAGCAACTGAACACTGACTTTATACTGTGCATTTCCTTCTATCTATAAAACTGATAGCATATTCTACACATGACTAAAGCACATGTTTTCCTCTTACTACACTGATAGCAGGTTGACATTTATTGGAATGAGTCTTGCCCTGGAGGCAGAACTGAGCGATGTCCACTAGATGGGCCAGCTGCAAAGTCAAAATTGGCTATATTGTAAAAATTCATGAAAACTACATTGAGCTTTTTGGTCTAAATTTAAGATTAGGGTTAGGCATTAGGGTTAATAGTGTGGTTAAGGTTCGGTTTAAAATACGATTTTATGACTTTGTGGCTGTGCCAGCTAGTGACCACTCTGCAGAGCTGCCTCCAGGAACAAGATTCATGATGAAAAACACTAACCTGCACTACCTACAGTACATTGGCAAGCAAAGGTGCAGTGATCAGGTGTTGGTATATTAACCCCGTAACCACAGGTCTGGAGACACATTTTGCTGAATAGCACATGGTGGTTAAACTTCGGTCTGAATGTAGGGGGAGCTGGGTTGTGTCCCAAATGGCACCCTATTTCCTACATAGTGCACTACTTTTGACCAGAGCCCTATGGGCAATTGGTGCCCTTGGGCCATGGTGCCATTTGGGACACAGCGCTGATCCTAAACCTGTTCTTCCAGGTAAAAGAGGGCACCAGAATGACAGGGGCTGAGTAATCCTATATTAGTAGTATATTATGGTGTATCAAGAGGTGTCGCGTTGTGCACTTAAAGGGACATTTCTAACATTTTCAACTTCGTATTCATCATCTCCAGCACTACCCTAACATCAACGTATGTGAAAATGGCACGTTTCTATGTTTTGAAGTCAAAATGAGTTTTTCTAATGGCATCTGGTGTGCCTTGTGATTTCAACCAATTATGAGTAGGCATTGCCTACTAATTGATTAAAATCACATGATGCACACCATATGACGCTGAACGAATATATATATATATATATATATATATATATATATAATATAGCCGATTCAAAACATTTTCACATACATTGATGTTGGGGGTAGTGCTGATGATGAATATGAAGTAGAACAATGTATATCCTTTATAGTCTGTTCACTGATGTGTTGTACATGGTGTAGTACTGGGTCGTGTTCAGTAGGCACGAAACACTCCGAAACGGCACTATCTGAACTTGTCCAATAAGAATGTTTGTTTCTGTTACAGTTTGCCTTGATGAACACGACCCTGCTTTCTTGTGTTGTGTAGTAAGACCAGGAGGGTTGGTTACAGGTACAGGGTGTCCATATACAACACGCCCAAACAACTGATCCTGGATCAGACTCCACCAGATAAATATAATAAAAAGGAGGGTGGACAAGCTAGACTCAGATCAGTTCAGCAGCAAGGGAAAAGAGCACCCAGGGGGGCATAAATTGGCAGCTTCACATGTTAATCTTTCTCCCAAACCCGTCTAATGACTCCTTCCGTGCTGGGAGAAAGACAACGATTCACAGTTAATGACAACATCCCGTGTGGCGACTCAGTTCACACTAATGACAGCTTCCTTCTTCCTATGTGACAACTTCCTCAGTTGTGGATTGGCCCCGACTCCCTTAAGAGGCCAAGCCCAGGAGAAATCCACCCACAAACCCACTGGACAGGACGATGTTCCTCTTGACAAACTCTGTGGCCTGCAGAGAGGGGAAGGAGAAGAGAAAACAAGCAAACTGTGAGAGGTCACCTCCAATAACTGAAGGGTTAGAACTGATAATAGATGGCAAAATTAGAATCTTATACGCAGGGTATACTGTGATAAATCCAGGAATGTGGTTGTACATCGTGTGAGTTCACTAGAGGGCGCTGTTGCTGCATTATTAGTCCATCAAATGGATGCGGATGACTCAGGTATTTATGAATTTAGCTATTTCTCCCAAATATGATAATTAAGTATACTTTTTTTCTCATAAGTACATGCACTGCAAGGCACTGAGATTCAAGGGCACTGTAAATCCAATTGAATCAAAAAAGCAGCTCCCACACCCAGGTACTGGTGTTGGTCTCATGGAATTAATTAACAATTAGATAAAGGACCATGTGCACGCACACATCTCAAACATGTTCACCTTTTAGAATCACATAATACTATAGGCACAATAGCCTACCATAGAGTTACGATTAGGAAAGACAGGCAGTGTTATTGATACCTTTACCTCCTCGATGAAGGAGTTAATTTCAGGGGCTGCTTGCTTGGTTCTCTTCTTCAGGTGTTTCTTTGCTTTATTCACATCCTTCTCCACTTTCTTCCAGTCCACCTGCACGTAGCCACTGTGATTCGCTATCTGTAGGAGAAGGTGCAGAAATGAAAATTAGTGGTGTTTGTTGGTTTGCATTTGAAGTGGCACTCCGTTCATGTTATTACATGTGATCTCATTGGAATAGAGATGTGTATTATATCAGTACCCAGCATTGACTCAGTAAAAATATGATGCATCTCTAACCTGTAACAACAGGAACCCTCCACCTACGGCAGTAGCAGCTATCTTCCCTACTCTCTGGAACAAGTATCCTGCACACCTGAATGTGAGAGAGAAGGAGTGACTTATAGCAGTGTTGTAGTACTCGAGTCCAGGACACAGACTTGACTCGGACTCAAGTCACAATTTTCATGGCTCTGCTCGGACTGGACCAGTAGTGACTTTGTTGTCAGAAAATCTCTCTTTGTTGCATAATTTAAAATAGGGTGCCTACTAGCTACAACAGCAAATGTTAGAGAGCTGTATTATCTAGATATACTCCCGAGTGGCGCAGCGGTCTAAGACACTGCATCTCAAAGCTTGAGGCGTCACTATAGACCCCCTGGTTCGATTCCAGGCTGTATCACAACCGGCCGTGATTGGGAGTCCCATAGGGCGGCGCACAATTGGCCTAGCGTCGTCCGGGTTTGGCCGGTGTAGGCAGTCACTGTAAATACGAATTTGTTCTTAACTGACTTGCCTAGTTAAATAAAGGTAAAATACAATTTTAAATTTGAAAAAGACTTTAAATGTGCAACAGTTTAACAGAATTTAGATTTTTTTAATGGTTGGACCGCACCTTTTAGCACTACCAAGGGACTTGTGACTCAAGTATAAAGGACTCGGACTTGAACACTTGGGACTAGGGACTTGACCTCAAGGTTTAGTGACCTGACTATATCACTGACTCATACCATGTATTTCATCAGTGAAATGTGTTGATGTGTTTACTAGGGGCCAAAGATCCACACATATGTAGCCTCTACACCTTTGCTTTGGGTTACATACCAGCCAGTGACCCCTCCCATCATGATCTGCGTGGTCACAGAGTATTTCTCTGCGAGGGGACCAGAGTTATTCCCAAACACCATGCTCCACCATTGGTGCCTCCGGGCGTACTCTGTCAGGTCCACCACCTCATAGGTCTCGTCCTCGCTCTCCGGCTCTGGATCATCCTTATCTGATAAGATGTCATCTGGGATGAAGGAAAGACATACAAAGAACTTAAGCTGTTTTGCTTTCACTTTCTGTAATCTAGGCAACCTAGGGGCAGGATTCAGGTCCAAATTCAGTCCAATGACCTCACAGTCAAGAAACAGTTCCAATGCATGCATCTAAAGCTTTGCTGTAACTTCAAAGTAGTATTGACAGGATACACAAAACACATTCATTCATAGATTATTGATTTAAAACATGACTGGAATACTTGTTTCGTGAGTAATCACGTTCACGTCATTAGTATAAAGTGTATATCAGCGATAACGTTACTGTTGTCGGAATAGGAGCCATGGGTGACAAACAAATAACTTTACAATGCCAATGGCTGGTATTTGGGGCGATGGGCGATTGCATGCCATTGTTGTTTAGAAATTAGGCTAAATTGCTAGCAACAAAGCTAGCCATCCAGTCAGTAAAGCCCCACTGTCAAAAGCCGCAGCTGAACGAATAGCAATATTTAAGTGTTTAGATGTCTTGCTAATGGAATTAGCTATATATAATACAGCTGATTCGTTGTTATAATTCGAGATTATTTTATCCATAAACAGGGGCTAGCACTAACCTTCTTTGCGATCCGCCATTTTGGAGAAAATTACATCAGGATGTTGACAGCTGTATGCATGCCACGCCCCTGAGCTTTATAAACCTCTGCTGGCCCCGCCTACAGAATGATGCTTTGCCACATCAGTATTTTAACACTTTGATCTTCCTTCTCTGAAATGTTGCAAAATGTTGACAATTTCATTTGTAACCATAAAAATGTTCCATACAAAATAAGATTCGATTTCCTTCATATTAGATTCAATTTCTGCCCAAAATAGCTATCAAAAAAGCTGTTTGGATAATTGGATTTGAGGATTTACATTGGATGGATAGATTTGTCTTTGTCTAACAAATGACAAAGTCTGGGTTATTTTGAAAATGTCTCTAGCTGGGGGAAAAAAACACCAACAAGAATGATTGCTATTCATTTCATTTTCAAGACATGTACAAAAGTGAGAATGTAATTCATAACACAGTAGATAAACACAAATACAGTAGAACTAGCTAGTACATTTTAAAAAATGCAAACAGATCAAATTGGTATCAACCACAAAAATGTATAGGAATGTCGATGTCTAGGGCAACGATGATGTCATCCAATCTATTATTATGATTGCAAGGTGAGAGACATTTGTAGTTACACAGTCCTAATCAGAATTCTTACCTCCAAACATCATTGCAACGTTTTATTTAGACATGCTTCCCCATTAACAGCAAATAATACTGGTATCAAGTATTTGCACACATTTCTCAGAAGTTGTGACACTTAAATGTATTTAGTAATATGACAGTTGTTTGCATGTAGCTAGTTAACATAGTTATTTATGCACTTTGCAAAACAAATCAATCAATTTGAATACCTATACAATACAACCATACACAAACTGCATTTTTGCTTTTGAGAAAATAATGAAAATGTATAATTGATTTTAGTGGTTTGTAAAAAGCTAAATGAAGATGGGTAAAAAAAAAAAATCTAGTCATATGCTGATATTCAGACGTATCTATTGGCTGAAGAGGTAGGAGAGGCGTGACTACGGCGGCGCGTGGGTTCGCTTGCTTGTGTGACACAATTATAACAACTTTAAGCTGGTGGCTGTGGGGAATTTTATGGTCAAATAATAGTATTTTCAAACTGCAAGAATTGCACTTCATGCATTACATTTTATTAGTTGCATAAACCGTGCCTAAAAATGTGACGCGAAGACTTTTTGGAGGGGTACTTGTTTTCCTGAAAGGATTTACCATTTTGAATTGCGTTTTTGATCCTGGAGAAAAGTTTATTCTATCTAATCAATTTTTTGTTTTCCCTCTTTGATTTGGTGGAGTATCTCGTTCGCCCTCTCGTCGCGATTCCATGCAATCGTGCGGAGTCTCGCTCGCTGTTGCTGCCTGCGCTGCTGCTCGGAGTCTCGGCTCGGCTTCTGGTGGTGATGAGGAAAAGAAAATGGCGGCGGGAAAAGCCAGTGAAACCGAGGAGGACTTTCCGACGCTGACAGCCCAAGAGAGGGACAGCTTGGTCGGAATTGACAGGTCGGAGTCAAAGCCCTGCACACACCTCTAGTGTATTCTTAATATTCTGTACACGCGTTTACCGTTTTTATACGTTAAATCCATTTGCACAGCAGTGAAAGTGATACTGAACCGCCTGTGTTGTCTTCTTGCTTGCAGCTCACTGTTTGGATTTCAGAGGCTTCATGAAGATGGCGCCAGAACGAAGGCCTTACTGTTGAAGGTAGCTCGCTAAGTTGCAAACACACAGGACCAGCCGGTCGTTGAACCACAACACTTGCACCTTCTACATTCTTACCCACAGAGTAATACATGTAACTATGTTATCCTAACAAACATAGCCAGTCCACTCTCAGGTGAGAGCACGGACTCTGGTTAACCATACACCCATCACACGATGTGCGCAGAGCGACCCTGCGGCTACGCAGCGTTCCTACCCTACTTCTCTCCTTCGCTAGCTAATCCAATAGTGAAAATGAACGGCTTTTCCATTGCATAAACACATTTTAGTAACCCAACTGGCTATGTTCGTTGTGTTATTAGGGTGGCCTTGCATTTATCTAACTCGTCAAGTTGACCAACTTAGCTATTTGATAGTCACAAAAAGGCTTGCCATATCAAATGTTTCTGCCAAGTTGGTTTGTATTGGGGTGCAGTAGAAATGGCTAACAAGCCTGGTAGTTGAAGAAGCTAGCTAATTAACGTTAGCCAGCTGGCTGTGTAATATAACATTTGAAGTACATACTTGTGAACTAGTCGCTAGTCATTTATATTGATAAGAAGAACCATCACATGCAACCCTTTAATTTAGCCTGCTAGCAAAGGGCTATCTAGCTAGCAATTCCCCTGCTAATTTGCTAACGTTAACTAGCTTGTGAAACGTGCGTTGTTGGACTCTGGAGTTGGCTAGCTCATTCTGAATGTTAGCTAGCTAGAGATTCAGTGGTCAGGCACATATATCATTGAATGATTTGGCATTAGCCAGTGTTTTTTTTTACAGCTAAAATCATCACTGTGATATAAACATAAGTTAACGTTAGATAGTCAGCTAGCCAAAGCTACCGAGTATGATAAAGTAACCTTTAATTGGTCAGAGAATTAGCTAACGTTAGGAAAGCTACGTTGTTTTAATGGCGATTTAACGTTTTATCACAGAGTAGACTTCCCATTATGTCAGGAAAGTATTTTTGCTTGCTGCACTGTGTATCTGGCTCGTGCAACATGTATGCATGCATTTGAGCCGTTCTCGTGCCCCTGAGTTGGTGTTGATTGTGAAAACGTTATAAACTTGTGATGGGCTCGATACGGGCTGTTCCAATGGCTGCTAACTAGCTAAACGCGTTAGCTGTTTGGATAGCTAGCTAGTAATGGCTGCTTGGGCCGGTCCAAGATGGCGGGACAGGGAGGAGTGACACCGAAATCTAGCTATGTGGGGAGCTCAATAAAAACCTATATCTAACGAAATTACATGCAATTCGTTTGCAGGTTTTGATTGACCCCTTTCGCCGTGTTCCACGCAGTGTGGCTTATGTTGGTTTGTTGACAGTTTTCATGTGTCCCTTCGTAGCTACGTTTTGCATCACAGCATCATCAACCTGTAGCTAGCACAGTGAACAAAGGGCAAAGTTGCAGACATTTCTTAATTTTTGCGCATTGTATTGAATTTGTAATGTTCACAGTTGGTGTTTACAATGGACGAAGTATGGGGATAGAAGCTATGTTGCCACAGTAAATAAATTATTGGCTTCCCAGGGTGCTTAGAAAGTAGGCTTGCCAGCGAGCTAGCATGCTGGGTTACTAGCTACGTAAACAAAAAAGGATAATCTACTGCAAATTCAAATTTTTACATTTTAGTCATTTAGCAGACGCTCGTATCCAGAGCGACTTACAGTTAGTGAGTGCATACATTTTTAATACTGGCCCCCCATGGGAATCAAACCCACAAATCACTGGAAAGATGATGGCAAACTGGCCACACCACTATCCCAGCCTCAGTTCAAACCCTCACCAATTCAGCCATTCTCCCTGCAATGTTTCCCCTAGGATTTTTTTCAGAAAAGTTGGCGTGGTAGTGGCAAATGGCGCTTTTGCTGACTGATATTTTAGAGGCCCTCTTGGCAGCAGAGACAATGTTGATATTTTAAAGTTAATTTCCTGCAATTCTACACGTTTTCCCATGTGGCTGAGAGAAATGCAGTTTTAAAGCTAATTTCCTGCAATTCTACACATTTTGTCATTGCTTATCCTGTGTTCTTACGCTATTTGAGTGACAAAAAAAATAAAAAATCAATGGGGACCAAAATGCCATGACATGTTTAGAATTTGATTCTCCTGACTGTCTAGTTTTTATTTTGGTGATTGTTAGTTATCAATGGTGATCTTATAAAATATATATATACACACACAGTACCAGTCAAAACTCATGAGTAGGTGTGTCCAAACTTTTGACTGGTACTATATGTGTGTATATATATCTTTTTTCCTACATACTTTATATCTGTGTTTACTCGTTTAAGTTGACACTGAAAATGTTTAGCATCCCGATAATTATTTTATGTATTTTTTATTTATTAAAAAAAAAAAACATTTAAAATAGAAAATGAATACAGGGAAAGACTGCTCTGTCTCAGCATTTAGCTGGGACTTTATACCCATGCATTCTGTTTGCATTTATTCTCTCAAGTGATGCAGGGGGCCAATGGAGGAATGACCCCTTTGTCTCTTCATATCTGAGATAGTTAATTTTAAAATGTCATGTCCTTTTTTTGCTTTTTTAGCTCTCACTTTAAAGGTTGCCTAGATTCATATTGTATAGGTTAAAGGTACTCCTTATTTCCCTACTCTGAGATGTGGGGGCAGATGCTAGCGGGACGACGCATACTAAAACCAGTCCCTTGCTCTGTGGGGAATGCGGCCCCATGTAACCTTACTAGCTACCCTACACCCTGGTATTCACCTCAGCCATCACGTGATGCACTCCTAGGGATGTGGTCAATTTAAATCTTGACATGAATCAAACATTTTCCATGCACTAAATGAATGACCCCTATGTGTTTCTCCTGCATTGCACCTGCTTTCGCAATCATTTTTGCTGCTTTTTAAAATGTGTATGTTGATGTAGCCAACCTCCATCAGCTGTTTTATGGCGCATTGACCACCAGGAATAAGTTTGGACATTATGATAGTCCCGTGTAGCTCCCGTGTAGGGTTGTGGGTTCGTTTCCCACGGGGGGCCAGTATGAAAAAAAGAAATGTATGCACTCACTAACTGTAAGTCGCTCTGGATAAGAGCATCTGCTAAATTACTAAAATGTAAAATGATGATAAAACTAGTAGCCTATGTGAAGCTACTAACTCAACATTTGTTAGACAGTGTCACTTAATTTTTTTAAACTGGAACCTTTTTCCTCAAATGGTTTGACCAAATTTCTATATCACTCGTCTCCCGATTTTTAGTTTTTTGTTGCTGTGAGGAGCTTTACCGCTCTTTCTCTTCTACAGCTTTATTCGTTTTGAGTGTCTGCCCTGTCTGGCACAGTGCACAGTCGCTCTGTTGCACAGCTATCTACGCCCAGATAACACAGAGTTCAAGTCTACTGACAGAACTGGGTCGTCGTATCGCCACCACTGGATTAGGTGGCAACAACATAGAAATAGAATGAGTAGAACTCAAACCCAGTTCTCTTATTCCACACAATGTTCCATCTCCATGGGCCAACTATACTGAACAAAAATATAAATGCAACAATTTCAACGATTTTACTAAGTTACAGTTCATATAAGGAAATCAGTCAATTGAAATAAATGTGTTAGTTCCTAATCTATGGATTTCACATGACTGGGCAGGTGATGTAGCTCAGTTGGTTGAGCATGGCGTTTGCAACGCCAGGGTTGTGGGTTCGTTTCCCATGGGGGGGCCAGTATGAAAATATAAAAAATAATGTATGCACTCACTAACTGTAAGTCGCTCTGGATAAGAGCGTCTGCTAAATGACTAAAATGTAAAATGTAAATGTGTGCAGCCATGGGTGGGGCTGGGAGGGCATAGGACCAATCACTTGAGAGCCAGGCCCACCCACTGGGGAGCCAGGCACAGCCAATCAGAATGAGTTTTTCCCCACAAAAGGGCTTTCAGACAGAAATACTCAATTTCATCAGCTGTCCGGGTGGCTGGTCTCAGACGATCCCTCAGGGGAAGAAGCTGTATGTGGAGGTCCTGGGGTGGTGTGGTTACACGTTGTGAGGCCGGTTGGACGTACTGCCAAATTCTCTAAAATGAGATTGGAGGCGGCTTATGGTAGAGAAATGAGCATTACATTCTCTGGCAACAGCTCTGTTGGACATTCCTACAGTCAGCATGCCAATTGCACACATCTGTGGCATTGTGTTGTGACAAACTGCACATTTTAGAGTGGCCTTTTATTGTCCCCAGCACAAGGTGCACCTGTGTAATGATCATGCTGTTTAATCAGCTTCTTGATATGCCACACCTGTCAGGTGGATGGATTATCTTGGCAAAGGAGAAATGCTCACTAACTAAATTTGTGCACAACATTTGAGAAATAAGATTTTTGTGCATATGGAATATTTCTGGGATCTTTTATTTCAGCTCATGAAACATGAGACCAACACTTTACATGTTGTGTTTATGTTTTTGTTCAGTATAGTTTGATTAGCAGTGTGCACAGCTGTACCATTGAATGAGCGTTGCATATTAACTTCAATGCACGAAGATGACATTAAAAGGAAGAAGCATAATAGCGGGTACTTTCTTTTGGAGTTTTACTGACCCCAACCAAGTACACAAAATCAATGTTTCTAGCCACCCTCATCCTGACCCTTTTTGGGAATAAACTGATTTAGATCAATTAATTAACATCCCCCTCCACATTCACACACCAAACAAATTGGTATTCAATCAATTTGTATTTTATTTGCAGCAGCTGTGACTTTGTTTGATATGAAGTGGAGCACTAACATGTTATGGAATCAATTGCAGTTTGTTTATTGGTATAAAATCACATTTGCAACTTGTTTACTTCGGCCCATATCATTGTATTTGTTTTACTTTCATGAGATGTGTTGCTCGTTAGGAAAGCACAGATGCGTTGTGAGCTCATTATCAAGCACCAATGTTAGTTCCTGCTGCATTGTGTACCAGTGCCACGTTAGGCATCATCGCTTTACTGGAGTAAACAGCCAACTTTCATCTACTTTGTCATATGAACTCGCATGCTTGTTAAGCCTACTGTGCAGGGTGTGCGTATTCTCATAAAGGCTGAGCCGCAGCTACATTTAATGAGATTGATCTCATCTGTGATGTTAGTTGAATTCTGGGCTTGGCCTCTCTCAGCTGTGCTGTCTGTCATTTCTCTGGGCCCCTCCCCCTTTCCACCATAAACAAACCTCCAGTCAGTCAGTCAGTCTGAATGGTGATATAAGAAGGGTATCGACACACACACAAATGCATCCTCAACCACTCAATCATGCTGAGGCTGTTCAAAGAGACCAGGCAAAAAAACTAACTTTTTGGTCCACCAGCCACTGTGGAAGGTAGATTTAAAAAATCTACCAGCCACTCAGGTTTTTTTTTACTAAAAAAAAACTCCCAGATGAGCATGGTTGGTAATGTTTCTAAAACAATGTATTACTAGTAATAAGTGATGTGGTATATTGCTCAATTTTATATATATTTTTAAAACTAAAATATCACAGATGAGGCCAACATGTTCAGCTGCCCTTTTAAGGTTGGGAGGTTACCGTTGCAACAAGGACACTCAAGCAACTTGAGTTGTCAGTGACGGTGTGCCTGTGAGAGAGAATCTGACTAGTATCTGTGTCTTCGCTAGCAGTTGAAGCAAATTCAAACATTGAAAAACAACCTAGCTTGTGAACAAAATAATGTAAATAGCCAAGAAACAAAGTATCACTGTAGTAGACTCAAGTAAATTAGACCATCTTTTATGCTTGTGCATAGCGCTTCTGAAAATGAATCTTCAGCACTTCAATCACATTGCGCACAGCTACCTAGCCAGTGTTGTGCGAGGTGGGACATACACAAAAGTATGTGGACACCCCTTCACATTAGTGGATTCAGCTATTTCAGCCACACCCGTTGCTGACAGGTGTATAAAATTGAGCACACAGCCATGCAATCTCCATAGACAAACATTGGCAGTAGAATGGCCTTCCTGAAGAGCTCAGTGACTTTCAACGTGGCACTGTCATAGGATGCCACCTTTCCAGCAAGTCAGTTCGTCAAATTTCTGCCTTGCTAGAGCTGCTCCGGTCAACTGTAAGTGCTGTTATTGTGAAGTAGAAATGTCTAGGAGCAACAACCACCATGAAGTGGTAGGCCACACAAGCTCACAAATCGTCTGTCCTCGGTTGCTACACTCACTACGGAGTTCCAAACTGCCTCTGGAAGCAACATCAGCAAAAAAAAGAATGGTTGGGAGCTTCATGAAATGGGTTTCTATGGCCGAGCAGCCACACACAAGCATAAGATCACCATGTGCAATGCCAAGCATCGACTGGAGTGGTGTAAAGCTCGCTGCCATTGGACTCTGGAGCAGTGGAAATGTGTTCTCTGGAGTGATGAATCACGCTTCACCATCTGGCAGTCCGATGGATGAATCTGGGTTTGGCGGATGCCGGCTGAACGCTACCTGCTCGAATGCATAGTGCCAACTGTAAAGTTTGGTGGAGGAGGAATAATGGTCTGGGGTTGTTTTTCATGGTTCAGGCTACAGATACACACACACACACACACACACACTGAACAAAAATATAAACGCAACATGTAAAGTGTTGGTCCCATGTTTCATGAGCTGAAATACACACAGAAATCTTATTTCTCTCTCATTTTGTGCACACATTTATTTCCATCCCTGTTAGTGAGCATTTCTCCTTTGCTAAGATAATTCATCCTCCTGACAGGTGTGGCATATCAAGCTGATTAAACAGCATGATCATTACAGTTGCGCCAGGGACAATAAAAGGCCACTCTAAAATGTGCAGTTATGTCACACAACAGAATGCCACAGATGTGTGCAATTGGCATGCTGACTGCAGGAATGTCCACTAGAGCTGTTGCCAGAGAATTGAATGTTCGTTTCTCTACCATAAGCCGCCTCCAACGTCGTTTTAGAGAATTGGGCAGTACGTCCAACCGGCCTCACAACCGCAGACCACGTGTAACCACGCCACCCCAGGACCTCCACATCCGGCTTCTTGACCTGCAGGATCGTCTGAGACCAGCCACCCAGACAGCTAATGAAACTGTGGGTTTGCACAACCGAAGAATTTCTGCACAAACTGTCAGAAACCGTCTCAGGGATGCTCACCGTCCTCACCAGGGTCTGGACCTGACTGCAGTTTGGAGTCGTAACCAACTTCAGCGGGCAAACGCTCACCTTTGATGGCTACTGGCACGCTGGAGAAGTGTGCTATTCATGGATGAATCCTGATTTAAACTGTACCGGGCAAATGGCAGACGGCCTGTATGGTGTCGTGTGGGCGAGTGGTTTGCTGATGTCAACGTTGTGAACAGAGTGCCCCATGGTGGCGGTGGGGTTATGGTATGGGCAGGCATAAGCTACGGACAACAAACACAATTGCATTTTATCGAAGGCATTTTGAATGCACAGAGATACCGTGATGAGATCCTGAAGCCTTGGTCGTGCCGTTCATCCGTCAACTCTATGCGAAGGAGATATGGCACGCTGCGTGAGGCAAATGGTGGTCACAGCACATACTGACTGGCTTTCTGATCCACATCCCTACATTTCTTAAAAATGGTATCTGTGACCAGTCATTTGAAATCGAAATGAGAAGTTAATGCTTAAACTCACAAATGTCATGGCGTTAAAGCAGTTCTGCGTGGAAGAGTGGGACAAAATGTATCCACGGGGACGTGAGAGACTGATCAACTACAGGAAGCGCTTGATTGGAGTCATTGCAGCTAAAGGTGGCACAACCAGTTATTGAGTTTAAGGGGGCAGTTACTTTTTCGCATTGGGTGTTGCATAATATGAAATAAGTATGTAGTTGTTTGTTCACTCAGGTTCCGTTTATCTAATATTCGGTTTTAGTTGAAGATCTGATGACGTTCAGTATAAAAAATATGCAAAAGTAAAGACCATTAGAAAGGGGGCAGATACTTTTTGATGTGTGTGTGATTCGTTGTGCTTTATGTGATTAGCTACCAGCTATGAAACAAAACGACAAACACTTACTTGACATAAATATGCTCATACTTGACTCCTAACTCTATTTTTATTTACAAATGCGAGTGAAATGCTTGCACTGTGGAGCCCTGACCACCCGCCAATGTGGCTGGTGAAATAGACATCTTACCCGCCAATGCCAAAATCTACCCGCATTTGGCGGGTGTTAATTTTAGGCTCTGGTACGTACCCCTTTGTTTTGCCTTGTGAGTAAATGTCTGTTGTACCGCATGTCTCTCGTCTGGTCCACATAGCACACAGGATCTAACATAGCACACAGGATCTAACCAAATGACAGGTCCCACAGAGGGAACTCTTTTTGTGATGAAGTTAGTTGCCATACACAGACAGCATATACCCACGTTAGGTTCTGTTCTTCCCCAGCCCATGCCTTGCCTTCTGAGTGATCTAACACACCTCAGTATTGCCCACTATCCCTGAACATTGACTACTGAGTAGGCCAAGGGCAATCATGAATATCGTCACTCACTACTGTTATTGGTTCACTGTCATAGCACAAAGTCACCTGAACTTGCTAGTCCAGTTGAGGGACAAGTGGACATTTTGTCCTCTATTCTCCTCATCCTCCCCAACCACACACTGACACCCACGTTTCGGAGAAACATAAGTAATGCTGTCATCGAGTTAGTCATTGGCTGGTCATTATCAACATTCTTTTAAGTGCTCAATCTGCAAACAGAGTTTTGAATCGGTCTTGTTCAAACATACTTCTTTTTTTCTCTCTCTTCCCGCCCGCCTGATGAGTGAGTGATCCAAGATGCACCCAGATATCTAGGGTCTAACTGTAGAGGACACATGAATTGACAGCAGGGAATTAAACATGAAAAAAAGTTGAGCGGATCTCTTGGGCGAGAGTCATTCGACTTGTGAGTGTTGGTGTGGCTGATGTGCTCTTAAGTGTGTTTTCTGCAGGTGTGTGTGTGTGTGTGTGTGTGTGTGTGACAACTGTATCAGAAGGAATGTTTTCGGGTACATTTATTTCTTGCTGTTGATGTATATTCAGTGATTGTGCTCCGTTTTAGAAGCCATGTCCTCAGAGAGCTGTTACTCAGAGTGCAGGGAAACCCAGTTTATTGGCCTCTGAGTTCACCCCTCCAAGAGTTCAGCAGCAGTCCACCAGAAGTGTGTGTGCATGTTGGGTGTGTGTGTTTAATGTGTGTGATTAGGCTTCAGGCAGAGCGATCCCTGTGAGTGTGCATGTGAGCATCTCGCTGTGTTTTCTTTTCCAGTGGAAGAAGGCAATATAAAAACATGGACCAACAGACATAATGGAACTAAATCCATACCATCGCTCCCAATCATACATTGATATCTGATTTTAAATAGAAAGTGGCACCCTATCCCCTATATAGTGCACCACTTTTGACCAGGACATATGGGGCTCTGGTCAAAATTAGTGCACTGTAGGGATAGGGGGCCATTTGGGACAGTTCCCATGTGAGACTTCCTGGTAAAAGAGACTGCTGTCTGGGTTCATGCTGAGTTTCTTCTTGCTGTATTTGACCCCAGGCTGTTCGTTGCTACGCTTCTCTCATCTTGAAGGCTGAAGGAAAAGTGGAGCCAGAGTTATTCTGCCAGCTAGGCCACTTCAACCTCCTACTGGAGGAGTACGCTAAAGGTGAGATGACGCACCTCTTTCTCTCCCCCCTCTCTCTCGCTCTCCCCCCTCTCTCTCGCTCTCTCCCCTCTCTCTCGCTCTCTCCCCTCTCTCTCGCTCTCCCCGCTCTCTCTCCCTCCCCCTCATCCCCGTCAAAAGAGACAGCCATGTATACATTAATAAATAAATAATACAATCATGCAATCAATTTGACTTTTTTAAAAACCAATCTACCTAACAACATAATGGTAATCATTTATTTGAATGGTAAATCTCTATTGATTAACTGGGTAAATCAAGATGTAGCCTAGGCCTATCCACATGAATGCATATTCAATAGGAGTGTGTCCATGAATTTAGTTATTGAGCAATCCGCTTTGAAATCAGCGTATTTTGCGTTATGATTGGTGTTATATTATCACAAACAAAGTACCAGGGTAGTGAATTGATGAAAGCTTCAGCTGTAAGCTAGTAAGAAAAGTTAGCCTACAAAGCTGGAAGCTACCGGTATTTTCTTGCATTGTAAAGTGTTCTAGCCTGTATGGACATTGTTTTGCGAACAGTAATTAAGTCAACATTTCTACATGCCGTGTCGCATTATTTAAGTGCGTTAACTTCTGTGCAGCATGAGTGGGGAGCTAACATGATGCAGTCCAGACTCCCAGTGCAACCTAACGTCAAGTGGAGCAGGCAGGGTGCTTTCGCTGATAGACAGTTGATCCGTGAGACACATTTGACTGAAGTACCAACAGTAACAAAAATTGTAGTACCGAACAAGTTTGTCGGCATTTAGAAAATTGTACCGAATTGTACATAAAAACAGAATGGAAACATGGTTTCTGTCACGCTCGATTTCCTCCCCTTATTTGTTATTTTTACCCAGTCTCCTCCCCCCCACCTGGGTTAGGCTAAATTTAATTTCAGTTAGATGCAATTGATCCCAACTTGCGTTGCTGAAAACAAAGCTGTTCTTATAGCAAAGTTAGTTGGTGTTAACCTTTTTGTATGTCTGGTATTTGATATCCCTCTCCTTTCTCTCCCGTCACAGCATTATCAGCATACCAGAGGTACTACAGCTTACAGTCCGACTACTGGAAGGTGAGAAAATACTAGACACACTCACACACACTCTTAAGGCTTCCGCATGCTTGGGTTCGGCTGGCATCTAGCCAAACCCAATGAGTGTGCTCGCAAACTCCCTTAAATAGTACTGTTTGTCCGTCTTTAGACGCCGTAGCCGATATACACTCCCGCAAAATAGTCAGAATTAATCTAAGAACTCAATACATCTGTCGTTTTTAATTTTGACGTTTTTGTCGGAGATCTTAGTCGCGCAATTTTACATCTAACTAAGATGTTTTGGTGCAGTATTTCTCAAGTGAAGAAAATGGGCATGAAAACGAGTCTATCCTTGAATGATGACAAACACTTCATTGAAGAATCCCTACTGTTGACCAATGACCGACGAAGGGGCGTGGACTTTGGCTCCTGAGCGTCGGCTTGCCTGAAGTGTGCACGAACAGCCGAAAAGCCCTTTCCGAAGTCCAAAATGAACAAAAACGTGCACAAACTGTTCCCAACAGTTTCGGATTGGAGGCATGCGGACTCCTTTACTCACACATTCATACATGCACACATCTATGGTGCTCCTATAGTAGTAATGTCTCCACTCTACTTCTACTGCAGATTATATTCTGCTCATCACAACCTGCAAAAGGATAGATTAACCCATTCACGTCACACACGCCCACTGGCGACGAACACCGGCCAACCAACCAGACACAGGAAGTGTGTGTGGTTATGATTCAGGCGTTTGTCTGGAGGGACGCTGTGGGTTGTGGCTTTCAGATTAGACTCATTCTTTGCCGTTTCTAGTTGAATCGAGAAATCTGTGGGGAGATGTGAGCATTTGGTCGGCCTACATTGTGATTCCATTTGAGCGTAGGCCAGAGGAGACGATGCCCTAGAAGGCATTTGTAGTGCAGTAACCTGTCATTACACAAAGAAAGACTTCTATTGCTTGTAAAATGAATGGTCCATAACTAATGAAAACTGATTAAGACGGATCCCTTGCAGAATGGATTTCTGGAAGGGCTCCTATGCAGACAGTCTGGGATGCAGCCATTTTGGAAACATTGTTTGTGTGTTGGCGTGTGTGTCTGGCCTGTAACTAATTAGACTTAATGAAGCTCCGTGTGCATCTGCCTCTTTCAGAATGCTGCCTTCCTATATGGCCTGGGCATGGTCTACTTCCATTACAACGCCTTTCAGTGGTGAGTAGCTGTCTTATAGAACTAAGTATGGAAGACTAGATTATGACGGTGTAACAGGTATTATAACTGTCTGTTATTGTCTGGCTGTGTGTGCATGGGAAAGAGAGGTATGGTTTCCATGGTGACACCGTCACCAGTTGCATCCCAAATGGCACCCTATTTCCTTTTATAGTACACTACTTTTGACCATGACCCTACGGGCCCTGGTCGAAAGTAGCGCACTATGCAGTGAATAGGGTGCCAATTGGGAAGAACACTGCAGCGCTGACCCTCTTCTTTTTCATCTTCTCTGAGTGACGCCTCCCATTTAGAACTTGGCATATACTTATATCCTCTCTCTTTCACTCACTCTCCGTCTCGCTCTCTCTCTCTCCTCCTCCTCCCCTAGGGCGATTAAAGCGTTCCAGGAGGTGCTCTACATCGACCCCAGTTTCTCACGAGCCAAGGAGATCCACCTGCGACTCGGCCTCATGTTTAAGGTCAACACAGACTACGAGTCAAGCCTAAAGGTACTCTGCCTGCCTCTCTCCTCCCCCAGTGGAGCCACTATAACATTTCCCACAGTTAGGACGTCCAGGGAGGAAGGTTAGTGTAGAATAACTTTTTTTTATATAGGTTTAATCTCAAATGGCACCTTATTCTATAGATCAGGGATGGGCCACTGATGGGGGTGGGGGCCACAAAAAATCTGAACTCATCATGGGGGGCCTCAGTGGCTCGCGGGTCTGAGTAACCACAGCCATACTCACATGCAGCCAGAGCCGGCCCTAGTCTTTTGGGAGACCCTAAGCACAAACTAGTTAATTTCATGCAATTCTACTCATTTTGCCATGGGGCGGTGAGAAATGTTTTTTTAGTTTTTTAATATGATATCTGAGTGAGAGTGACATGCAAAATCAATGGGGGTCTGTAAAGAGGACTGTATAGAGGACTTGCACTTTGTGCAATCTCTTCATCAGTTGCCCTCTCTCTCGCTCACTCTCTCCTGCTCTCTAATTGCAGAGAGAGGCAGCTTGCTGAAGAATTGATTTCCTTGTGTCTGAGTCTGACAGAGAGAGTTAGGGAAAGGGAGTGTCTCCATGCATGGGGATTCATGTAAAGGAATACCCTATTACGTGTGTTGTATTGTTCTTTTGTTTCTGTGTATTTCTTGTCTTTCGGTGGATGTTAATGACTTGATATTCTCTTCTGTCGACAGCATTTCCAGCTGGCTTTGATTGACTCCAACCCCTGCACTTTGTCCAAAGCTGAAAGTAAGTACTGTGAATAATGCTAATTCAGTAATGCAAGTTTCCTTAATTTTTTTTAAATAGGCATGTTTAAACACATGTTGATGTTCATTTGAGATTTAACTACAGAAATGTACTGGACAAATTGGCCAGCTGTATGTTGATTGAGAGTACAGATGGGCATGAGTAATCGATTACTCAAACTGATGTCAAAACTCGATCTTTAACCAGAGATCACATTTTTTTTCAAATACTGTCAAACTATTTGGTCTACATTTTGTCTTGAAGACAACATTAATTTGCTTTGACTCTAGTGTTCCATTTGTACGTGTGCATTTGCGGGACCCAACAAAAACTAAACCAAGCCAAGCATCACACAGTTCTGCTCCCTAAATTCCCTTTCCCCTATGTGTCTCGTTCACTCAATTGTGTTCCGACCGCTCCCTCTACACACGCATGCTGTGTGAGCCTACAGAAATAACTGCCTATAAAACGTATCTAACTGATGGGATACACAAGCTACATTCCTTGCCAAATGATGAGTTTTATCACCAGTTCTAAATGGACTGGTTGACTGAAGTAGGAAAATGTGTGTTCCAACAATGAGCTGCAGTTTTTGTAATAATTGCGTCATTTTCTGCTTAGGCTACTTTGTCCTTGTCACTAGTTACTACAGCCACAAAGTGAACATTGGCTATAGTGTAAAAATTCATAAAAACAAATATTTGCTTTTTAATTTAAGGTTACGGTTAGGCATAACGACCCTACTTTGCGAACAGCTAGTGGCATTTTAGAATTGGTTAACCTATTACCCTTCCAAACATAGACTGGTTCCACACCGAAAATATGTAAAAACATTAGTTTGATAACGACACGGAGCGTATTTTCATCAGAATCATTAAGCCTAGGCCTACTCACCAAACTGATGTCATGGCCATAATTCATCCCCATGCAGTGTTCAATGTAGAATTGTTAATCCATTTAGACAATTCCAAGGAACAGGCAGAATAAACTACATTGAACGTCTGTATATCGAAAAGACAGATTTTAGTTTGTAACCCTGATTTTTTTTTTTTTTTTTTTTTTTTCAACTTGCCAAATTGAGCCCCATTTTTAAGTGATCACTCTTTCAGAATAACTTTTCCAGACTCCGATGTGAATCACTTTGCACGATTCTGTTCTATTTTATTCTGGTATATTACATGTTCTTTTTTACTATAAAATCGGGAAATAAGAGCATCTTGTCTTCTAAATTAACAAAACAAGGCTTTGCCATTCTACAAGCAAGCGCCACACTGCTGAGGTTACTACCTTTTTGATGATTGTGTTCCACGATATAATAAAACCAGTTAATATTACAGTTTCAATAAATTCATCTTAAATGTCGCTTTGTTTTTTATTTACTGAAATATATGAGGAAATTTAGCAATTAGGATTCATTATCTGTAATGGTTATATTAGGCATTGTTGTTCACTGTTGGCATAGAGAAATGCGCAAATATTTTTCCAGTGACTCCCTTGTTCAAAAAAGTTTTTTATTTTATTTGAGTACTCAACAGTCAAATGCCAATCCCTAATTGAGAGATTCTTTCATATAACCTTGAAGTTCCAGTCACAGACTTGAGGCATTCAAGACATACAATGTGTTCATCAGCCTATATCTTATTAGTCCATAGTTAAATAAAAGTGATTTACTCCTGCGTCTTATGCATCTTGGTTTGGAACCCAGATATAGGTTGTCCCAAATGGCATCCTATTCCTTATTTAGTGTACAACTTTTGACAATGGCCTATAGGGCTCTGGTCAAAAGTAGTGCACTGGATAGGGAATAGGGTGCCGTTTGGGACCCAGACCTATAGACTGGTTGCCTGACAAAGTCACAAAAACGATGCACGTGGATCGCAGAGGCAGAAGCCTGTGTGGCGTTATGATTCAGATAGCTAGCAACAATGACAAGAAGCTGCCATGTGGGGAAGCGTAGGTGACTCGTTTCAGCTTCTTGTATCTTATTGATACCATGTCTTGTTTTGAGTTATTTTGACTCATGTCACGTTTATGTTAATATGGCTAAAATTTGCTAGCTACAGTGCCTTCAGAAAGTGTTCATACCCCTTGACATTCCACATTTTGTAGTTTGAATTCAAAATGGAGTAAATTAATTTTTTCTCACCAATCTACACACACTACCCCATAATGACAAAGTGTAAACATGTTTTTAGAAAAATTTGAAGTATCCTTTGTAGAAGCACCTTTGGCAGCGATTACAGCTGTGCGTCTTTCTGGGTAAGTCTCTAAGAGCTTTCCACACCTGGATTGTGCAACATTTGCCCATTATTCTTTTCAAACTTCTTCAAGCTCTGTCAAATTGGTTGGTGATCATTGCTAGACACCCATTTTCAGGTCTTGCCATAGATTTTCAATTAGATTTAAGTGTAACTCGGCCACTCAGGAACATTCACTGTCTTGGTAAGCAACTTCAGTGTAGATTTGGCCTTGTGATTTAAGTTATTGTCCTGCTGAAAGGTGAATTAATCTCCCAGTGTCTGGTAAAAAGCAGACTAAACCAGGTTTTTCTCTAGGATTTTGCCTGTGCTTAGCTCCATTCCGTTTCATTTTTGACCTGAAACTCCCCAGTCCTTAATGATTACAAGCATACCCATAACATGATGCAGCCACCACTATGATTGAAAATATGGAGACTGGTACTCGGTAATGTGTTGTATTGGATTTGCCCCAAACATACTATATTGTATTCAGGACAAAAAGTGAATTGCTTTGCCACATCTTTTGCAGTATTATTTTAGTTTGTTGTTGCAAACAGGATGCATGTTTTGGAATATTTTTATTCTGTACAGGCTTCCTTTTCCCTCTGTCAATTAGGTTAGTATTGTGGAGTAACTACAATGTCATTGATCCATCCTCAGTTTTAAACTCTAACTATTTAAATGTCTCCTTCCTCTCTGGCAACTGAGTTAGGAAGGACACCTGTGTCTTTGTAGTGACTGGGTGTATTGATAAACCATCCAAAGTGTAATTAATAACTTCACCATACTCAAAGGGATATCATTGTCTGCGTTTACATTTTTTATAATAATAATAATAATAATAATAATAATTGGTCATTTAGCAGACGCTCTTATCCAGAGCGACTTACAGGAGCAATTAGGGTTAAGTGCCTTGCTCAAGGGCACATCGACAGATTTTTCACCTAGTCGGCTCGGGGATTAGAACCAGCGACCTTTCGGTTACTGGCACAACGCTCTTAACCACTAAGCTACCTGCCGCCCTTTTACCCATCTACCAATAGGTGCCCTTCTTTGCGAGGCATTGGAAAACCTCCCTGGTCTTTGTGGTTGAATCTGTGTTTGAAATTCACTGCTTGACTGAGGGAACTTACTGTACCCCACACATACAATTTATGAGGTTCATTCAAAAATCATGCAACTTGTTATGTGACTTGGTAAGCATTATTATTATTTTTGCATAACAAAGGTGTTGAATACTTATTGACTCAAGACATTTCAGCTTTTCATTTTTAATTAATTTGTAAAAAATTGGAAGAACAATTCCACGTGTGTGTAGGCCAGTGACAAAACGATCTCAATTTTTAATCCATTTTAAATTCATGCTGTAACGCAACAAAATGTGGAAAAAGTCAAGGGGTGTGAATACTTTCAGAAGGTACTGTAGCTAACCAAAAACTGTAAATATATATTTGATCAGAATGAAGGGAGGTGGTGTGGTAGGGTTTAGCTAGCATACAGAATACATTACACTGCATTATGTTATTTCATAAGACATTCTCCCTCTCTGCCGGCTCCTATCGCCTGGAACCTGTTACCTAGGAGACCCTAATACCCATCCCGCTGGAGTCATTCTAATCAGGCTTTTGTAGGAGGCACACGGACAAACACACACATCCTCTCTCACATCCTTTCTATCTCTGTCTCTCACTCACACACACACACACACACACACATCCTCTCTCGGTCTTTCTCAGACACACAGGCGCTCTCTTTCTCTCTCACACACACACACACACACACACACGGGTACATCAAGGGCAGTCTCACCTCTGTGTATCAGTCTGGTTGGGCTCATTCACTCTGCTCAGAGACACACAGCACCGCTCTACAGACAAGTCAACCTGCTGCCACCGGAGGAGACAGCCTAGCAGCTCATCTGTTAAACACACCACTAACGTCAACACAGTGGATTAACTGCTATCAATTCTCTGTTTACTGGAGTCGTTCCATTTTGACCAGACTGTTGATGCTGAATGTTGGGATTTTTCTCAGAAGTAGCCAACAATTTGTATTTTTTGTCCTTCTCTTCCTCAGTTCAGTTCCACATCGCCCATCTGTATGAGATTCAGGTAAGCCTCGTCCTTTTCCTTTCGTCTTATTGAAATGTGTTTGTACTGAAGCTACGTGCTTTCCTTTTCAATAAGTATTCAACAACGCTGTTCAAGAATAAGGTACACTTTTATCCTGAAATGTTAATCATACAACTATTCTATGCTAGCCAGCTAGCTAGCGTTTTAGCAGCTAGGCTAATTGAACCGAGAGAGCCTTTTGTTGTGATCAAATGACGACGCATCATAGAAAATGAATGGGTCTCCCCCCTCGGCCAGTTCTGCGGGGTTGCCGTGGTAACAGGAGTCCCCCTCTCTCTCTTTCTCTCTTATGCCCGTGTGATCCATCTTTCACACTGCTTTTGGCTTAAGCAGCAGCTCTTAATAATCGAACCATGTTGGCTGACTGACTGCAGTAGCACCACAGGAGAGCTGTGGGTCAGTCAGTGTTTTGCTGTGTCAGTAGGACGGTTGCTGCAGCAGAGAGTGGGGTTTACTAGTGTTCATTTAATCCATCAGTCTATTGGGAGTAAGATGTCTCAGTGCAGGCTAGGGACACCGCTTCATCTGTCAAATATGGCGCTTGCAACGCCAGGGTTGTGGGTTCGTTTCCCACGGGGGGGCAGTATGAAAATGTATGCACTCACTTAACTGTAAGTCGCTCTGGATAAGAGCGTCTGCTAAATGACTAAAATATTTTTAAAAAATCTCACCCTCCTTTTTTTCCCCTCCCTCTCCTTCCCTCGCTCTCTTTCTCACGTTTCTGCAGAAGAGATACCGGGCTGCCAAGGAGGCGTACGAGAGCCTTCTGCAGACGGAGAATCTCCCAGCACAGGTGAAGGCCACTACCCTGCAGCAGCTAGGTAAGACCACACACACAGCTGATGAAATGAATGACCGGGTCTGGTACTGAATAAATGGATGGATGAAATCATGGATAGTGATGGGAAGGTCGACCTATTGTCCTGTGTCCTCCCCTCCCCCTCTACTAGGCTGGATGCACCACACGGTGGAGCAGCTAGGAGACCGAGCCAATAAGGACAGCTATGCCATCCAGTGTCTGCAGAAATCACTGGAGGCAGACCCCAACTCGGGACAGTCCTGGTACTTCCTGGGCAGGTGCTACTCTAGTATTGGGAAGGTCCAGGATGCGTTCATCTCCTACAGGCAGTCCATAGACAAATCAGAAGCCAGTGCAGACACATGGTGTTCAATAGGGTAAGCATTAGACCGAACCTCTTCTCTCTCTCTCTCCCTCCCTCTTGTTTTGCTCTGCTATCACTCTCCCACTCCTCTCGCTCTCTTTTTGAATCTCTCACCATCTCATATCTCTCCCTCCTTTATGCCATTCTGTCTATTTAACCCTCTCCACCCCTCACTGCTGTGTCCTCTCTATCCCTCTTTTTCTATATTTAACCCTCTCCTCACCCCTCTTTCTCCCTGTCCCCCCTCTCCTCTTTAATTTCCTCTCTCTCTGTCCTCTCTCCCTCAGTGTTCTGTACCAGCAACAGAACCAGCCCATGGATGCTTTGCAGGCGTACATCTGTGCGGTGCAGCTGGACCACGGCCACGCAGCCGCCTGGATGGACCTGGGCACGCTCTACGAGTCCTGCAGCCAGCCGCACGACGCCATCAAGTGCTACATCAACGCCATGCGCAGCAAGGCCTGCTCCAACGCCACCGCGCTCACACAACGCATCAAATGCCTGCAGGTGAGGAGAGGGAGAGAGGCTAGGGAGGGAGATGTTCAGTCCCAAATCAAACCCTAGCTCCCTACCGCTTAGATGGTTAGGGGAGGGATACTCCTGAGTCCACTGACCACTGGTTGGGTGCTTTTCTCACCTGTTGTAGATCTGAAATAATTTGGACTGGTGTCAGCAAAGTGGGAATGTTTTAATCTAGCCCTCTTGTTGACTAGGTCGAGTTTCCGCCATGTTTGCACCCATTCCATCCTTTCAGATCTAAAATGGGTGTTCAGGGGCTTAGAGTTGATTTGGGACTGGGTAAGAGAGTGGGAGAGGTTGAATCCCACTGCTGGAGAGACCTATGATCAGAGCTGCTGGGGTACTCAAACTTGACTATTCTGAACTACAGATTGTGGAAACAGATGATGAATACCAGAAGGCAAATCTGTGTGTTTTCACAGTGGAACCTGGCTCCTCCAGTCCCATACCCCATGTGTCTTGTCCATTTTGATGTAAAAACATTACCCCGCATTCATCTGTATGCATGAATGAGGGAACGTTCTCCAGTCACCAGTAATGTGAGCATAATTCCCTGGCATTAAGACAACGTAATGGTTTGTTTTAATGATTATGTGTTGTGTAAATTCATTCAAAGTGACCTATGACCCCCAACATGACTTCCCTGTTTGGTTGACCACTCTACTAAAGACCATAACTGGCAAACATATTTGATCCTCGCTAACAGTTGGGGCCACTGATATGCCAAGCTAGTAGCTAACCGGCTACATGAGAGAGACCATAACAAGACAATAACATTTTGATCGCAAGATCATTTTAAGTCATTAAATTGTTGTTTTCACACGTTTTCCATTCCATAGGCTCAGTTGAGTAACCCCCAGGTCACTAGTCTACAGAGTAAAAGTAAAATGCTTCCTCTTATTGATGAGGCCTGGAGTCTACCAATCCCAGCAGAGCTAACCTCCAGGCAGGGTGGCCTGAACACTGCACCGCAGGTGAGACCAGATAGACCACTCCCCCCCTCCCCCCCCACACACACACACACAACCCTCGACATACACCCCCTCCCCCCCCTCCCAATGCCAACGGGCAACACATCACCTGGACCTTCTCTCCATGAGTCTTCCTGTGGAGTAACCGATGCCCTAGAGCAGCCATAACAACCAATTTAACCACGCTATGCTCACTATCTGGAAAGGTTAGTGACTGGAAAAGTCCCTGGTAACAGTCGTTCATATAGCTGTACCTGGTGTGATGTTTTTTTTAGGTGTAGCTTGGTAAGGCAGTGATCTTGTCATGGTTGGTAAACTAGTCATACAGCTGCTTGAGACATGACATGCAAAGGTTATGACATGATTTGCCACCATTTCTTGTTATGACTGCTTATGGCTTTTGTTATGACTGAGAGGATCAAGTGAAGTGTTGCCCTTCCCAAACCCCCCCCCTCCCTTCCCCAAACTCCCTGACACAGCCACAGGCCAACCTCACTACCCACTGTCAACCTGTATCTGTTATCATGGCTTCACAGCTCAAAGAACCAATTTGGTTAAAATAAATTGGTTACATTTAATTTCTCCTTTCAAAAAGAATACATTTTAATTATTAAATGTCCAGTGTATTCACACAATATAAAAAGACAAATCTATTAAAATATTTTTTTTAACCTGCTATGCTACACTGAGATGATTTTTGACTAACGGCAAGACGTCAATTGATTGTCATTGTGGTCATTGTGATTGGTGAGGTTGTGCCACAGTAGAATAGTTTCAGGTTTCCATCATTCTTCCTGAGGTCATCAGGTTCCTTGCTGCCACTGAAACCTAGCAGCGCCCCCTAGTGTTGCAGTACCGTTCATTCACATTCATTATAGACAACATTAGTTCTTGTGTGTGTGTTCGTTGAGTACAATGTAATTCTCAGCATCAGACTATACAAACTGAAGCAGTCTTCAGATGTTTATTGTTTTGGGGAGGAGACAGGAGAGGGTTGTTTTCTTTCACTTGTATTCATAAACTCTTGTTGACATGGTTACAGGTGTTCTGATGATGACCACCACCACCATGTTTTTGACAAAGCCATGTTCACGTAGAGTCGGGGGTGACAATTCACACCTGGAGTTGCCTTTTTCAACATTTTGATTATTTCCTTTTAAAAGCTGCAACTGCCAAAGGCTTAGCAATGTGGTGTGATCAGGTAAAGCCTTTTTATGGCCAAACGTCTTTGGAAGTTGGCGATGAGACTCAGTCAACGTGGAAGGATTGACAGTTTGTGATGAGAAATTCCACTCTACCGGTCATGGAAACATCTTCAGGGTATCATTGCAGATAGTTTGGAAAGGAAATGTGTACTGCTGTGTGTACGTGTGTTGAAGTGCCGACGTCACCCTCTTACTTTTCTGTTCTCTCTCTGTCTCTAACTACCTATCCCTATATTCTTTCACTTGCTCTCTCCATCCCTCACGTTGCGTTCTGCTCCTTGCTACCTGCCCTGTCATTTTTCCTACAACCCTCTACTCTCCTCCTCTATCACTCTATCGCTCTGTCCCTCCTGTCATCCCTCCGTCTCTGCCTGTGATCTACCCCTTCCTGTCCCTTTCTCTCTCCTCTCCTGCATCCCTTCTGTATTTTTCTTTCTGCGCACCATCCCTCACTTCTTTACCTTCTATCACGACGTTTTCAACACCCTTCACTGCCCTCCCTTGCAACCCCTTCACTCTCTCCCTCCTCCTCCTCCTCTTACCTCCCTCTCTGTAGGCGTGTAAGCCCCAGCACAGCTCTGAGGGAGGGGGATCGGGCCAGGCTCTGCCCCCACACGTGGGCCCTATGGGCCAGGGGGAGGACCCGTCCAGCCCTGCCAAGAGGAGGAGGGCCTCCAGCCCAGCCAAGGTACATTACACTACATTCAGATGGAGATATATTGTGTTTTTGTAGAACAGACATGATTCTTACAATACTTGGATCCATTTAATTATTTTAGGTCGGCTGAAGATGAGGTTGTCTTGTCTGGAATCTCACTACTAACTCTTTCTCTCAATCGCTCCTTTTGCAGAGCCAGCCAGATTCCTGGGCTAGTAACTCTGCACAGCAGTCAGTCCCCAACTGGTACCTGTCGCCACAGAAACTACAGGTAAGCACACACATTTAACACACCATGCCCTGCCACTCACACCCGCTTCCCTCTGCTGATTCTGTCTCTACACACACACACACACACACACACACACACTAATCTGTACCTCCTCGGTGCGCCCAGCTCCTGGACCAGTTGAGGAGTAATCGGGCCAGTCTGAAGCCCCTGCAGCTGCAGATGCTGGAGCAGCTGGAGGCACAACTCAACCTAATGCAGCAGCACCAGCAGCAGGTACACAGACACACACACACACTTATTACCCCCAGATGTTTACCTGATGGCCTGCAAGCAGTATACTGTATGTCTCTTCTAATTATTCTAATGTAGTGTAATATATTTACTAATTTGAGTTAATCCACTGAAAAGTGATGTTAATTAAAGACATGGTATTCATTTCTAAACCCTGACGTTGTGATTATGTTCTGTTCTACAGATGAGACAGAATGCGTCTGGACAGCTGCGTCCCTCCCTCTCCAACGGCCCCTCAGCCACAAACTCTCTCCCCCCTCCTCACTCTAGCCTGCCCCCCTCCCGGCCCCACCTGGCCCCTCAGGGCTCGTTGCGGCCCCCCTGCCCCCCTCGACCACTGGCCAACGGGCCTCTGGCAGGCGGCACACCACACGGACACTCTGACACTCTTTCTGTGGGCAATAATAATAATAATAATCACCCGGTGGCGGCCACAGGACCCAACGGAGACGTGCCTTATCTGCAGCCCGGCGTACTACTACCTCACACCTGCACAAGCACCCAATCACAGGACACAGCGCGCCGGGCCCTGCACCTAAACTCCACTCAGGTAGGACTCTCTACCTCTTCACTCAATTCAGGTCTATGTGAAGCTCCTATAGGCTCTGTGCTCTGAGACAAGAGTGCTATTCCTTTCTGTGCTAGTCCTTGCTCAGTCAAATCATAAATGATGGAATCCCAGATGTTCCTTAGTGAGAAGAGAGCTAGACCTACTATATGTTGTTCTTTAGCTGCAGTCCTTATTCCGATCTAACAGTGTGGTCCCTCCCTGCTCCCCTCTCCCTACAGGGGCTTCAGAAGGGTTCCGCTCCACATTGGGCGGGTCCTAATGGTGATGGGTCTCTCTCCTCCTCCTCTGGGGGGTCAACACACCCCCTCTCGCACCCCCAGACGCCCCACAATCAGGTTGGACATTCGGCCGCCCCCTTGCCGCGGCAACAGGCTCTCAACCACCTCCCGTCCCCCCCTTCTCCCCCTCCTCACTCTGCTACCTCAGGTGGAGCACCCGGCACCCCCGCTACCAAAGAGAGCACGCCCCTCGGCAACGGCCCCGCCGCCACGGCAACAAAGGGGCCTGGGGGGGCGACGACGGCCAATAGCACTGCCATGGCGGCGGAAGGCTTATCCAATCACGTCCAGTCGGCGGCAGGAGAGGACGGGACGATCAATAGATCCCCTCACCACAGCTCAGACAATCCTAAGGGGGGCGACCACACCCCCACCACCTCTGCCCCCCACAAGAAGATCAACAACATCCACCCGGCCGTCTCCTCGGCCGCTTCCTCCCCCATCTCTGCCATGTCCACCGCCACCCCCTCGCCCAAATCCACCGAGCCCGGCCAGTCGACGGGCCCGCACGGCCTCAACAGCCCCTCCACCACCACCGCCGCCACATTATCGTCAGCTGGCCCCACCGCCGTAGTCAATGGCAATGGCAAGGGGGGCATCTCAGAGGACTCCCAGAGCCCGATGAAGGCGGACCCCCCTGCCACGTGTCGCAGACCCACACCACCCCACGCCCGCACCCCCTCATCATCATCCTCGTCCTCCGTCTCCATCTACCCCTCCTCCACAGATGTGCTCAAGGCCTGCAGGTTAGACTGGAGTGACCCAGTACCATTTCTTCTTGGGCTGTAGGAAGTTTGATTATGGTGGGAAGATGTAGTATTGCATTTGTTGGTAGAGGAACTGTCAGAGAACAGAGATTATACAGTAAAACCAAGAGGCTAATCTTGTTTGCGCCTTTCTCTCTCCCCGTCTCTATTTGTCCGTCTCTATTTGTCTCTCTCTCTTTCAGGAACCTGGGGAAGAATGGTCTGTCTAGCAGTAGTATCCTGCTGGATAAGTGTCCCCCTCCTCGCCTGCCCCCTCCTCCCTCCCCAGTCCTGCCCAAGGACAAACTCAACCCCCCCACACCAAGCATCTATGTGAGTAGCAACCTCAGAATGGAAGAAAGACTTCTCGTCATAGCATGATAATGAAAGGGGAATGTTTTAGTCAACATTGTGATTCTGATAAGAATCGTACAAATTCGAATTACTCAACATTCGAAACGTGTAGTTTTGAAGACATGAGAAGGGTCGTGTTATATATTAAATTGAAATAATATATCATTGTGTATTTGATTCCCAGCTGGAGAATAAGAGGGATGCATTCTTCCCTCCGCTGCACCAGTTCTGCACAAACCCCTCCAACCCTGTCACCGTCATCAGAGGGTTGGCCGGGGCGCTCAAACTGGGTGAGTCTACTATTTCTACTGCAACGATGCCCCCTGCTGGTTACAACTGTCATTACATTACCCGGTATTGCCTTTTCTCATTTGGGAAAAAGTCCTTCCACCACCCTCTCTCCTCCGTCCTCTCTTCTCCATGACCTGGAAACCGATAAGTGGTCGAGGAGATGTCAATTCGTTAGTAGGTGAACGGAAGAGTCCTCCCCTCCTCAATAGCCACCTTTCATCAATAATAGTCATGAGTATCCTACCCGATTCCTTCGAGAAGAGCTTTAAAATCTTCCCTCTCTTCGCCGCCTCTCCTCGCTTACCTTTGACCTTTTTCAAAAGGAGGCGAGAGAGAGGACGCAGGAGTTGAGCAAATTCAATTGAGAAAAGCCACATGACGGAGTCCTTGGTGCCGACCACTAACTTTGATGTTGTACTTGTGCAAGCCCCAATGCAGCTTGTGCATTAGCAGGTTTCCATGCCCTTGATTTGAGTGAGTGCGCTCTTTCACCCCTTGTTCACTCTTTCTCTCTCTCTCTTCTTCATATCCATCTCCCCCTCTCTCAGACCTGGGTCTGTTCTCTACGAAGACCCTAGTGGAGGCTAACCCAGACCACCTGGTAGAGTGTCGTACCCAGCTGTCTCAGCCCGCTGACGAGAACTGGGACCTGAGTGGCACCAAGAAGATGTGGCGCTGCGAGAGCGGCCGAGCTCACACCACCATCGCCAAATACGCCCAGTACCAGGCTGCCTCATTCCAGGAATCACTACGGGTTAGTAGAGGGAGATCTATATATATATATATATACACACACACACCAGGGTTTCCGTTAGGAAAATGTGGCGCTGGACAACATTACTGAAATATTTAAATTTTCCGGCCATTTGAGAACTTTAACGGACCCATAGCCCATGAGGGCGTCCACCCACAGTGCTCAGAATGACAGAAATCCCATCTTAGATTAATAATGCATCTTAACAGAACATGCAACTCATGTAAGGAAGCAGACTAAAACATCATTTGCCTAAATGCAATTCGTGGTAAAACACCATTTTAAACAGCGCACCTGATAGCGGTTCCATATGTGACAGATGAAAATCTCTAATAGAAACTTAAAAAGAGGGGGAATCTAAAGATGCACGACTAGGATTGTGCCTTTGGCTTCTGGACAAAAAAAGAAAGTTGATATGAATGCATAGCGGTGTAATAAGTACTCCTGTCTATACAGAAATAAATACAATAATTCAAAATACACCAGAAAGCATGACTTAGCCACAGAGGAATCGAGGATCATTAACTTTTTTTTGTATATATATATATAATCTGTGGATTGTTTCAAATCACAAGCTCGTAGGTCTATGCCTCTTGGGAAGCCCACAGGTTGGTTAGTGTGCTTGGCAATAGGCCTAGCTGATTGAGTTACAGCTGTCAGTGGAAAAACATCAAAAATATGACAATGTGTCTTGAGTATAATTTAAAATGTTTAGACAAGAAGAAGGAGAGGGGTGTGTGGCGAAGGTGTAGGCCAGTCTCTCTCCAGAATGGCTCAGCTGTCTCCTGACAATTCTTGCGCTTTCATTGTGTGAATTGTTTGCCCTTTGATTCATTTTTAAAAAATCAATTCCCCATTACATATGTCACCAGTAGTAAATGTACCGTTAATCCCTGTCGTTTTGTTAAATTGTTTTCTGTTAATGCATGTATTAATCAGTCATTTACCGTTCTCATTCTCAGAGTGGGAATGTTGTTTGCAGAGTTCACAACCTGCTACACTTGTGAGAAACAAGTTTTGGTTTATTTCATAACCATTTACGAGATTTGTAAATGTTTTAATTGTGTTTTGTTTGGAGGGCTCCATGTGAGCATGTGTCTGGTTTCTCTGTCCTGACAATGTTGAGGGAGGGAGCTAGCGCATGCCTGAGCACGCATAGAAGTACCTGGCCTACTGCGTTTTTTTAACATCCACAGTGAATGATAATATATTATAACTATACCATAGTTCCTCGCAGTAAGCGATTTGATAAATCTTTCCAACAATCTCCCCCTCGATAATCACCAATCCTCGGTGTGAAAGAGCAATGGAAGTTATAGGCCTACTGCTGCATTGGACTATAGGCTAAGAGTTCCAACTCATTTCTTTAACCGCCAATGGATCACAGTGTATCAATGTGTCCACATGACAGGCTGGTGATCTCGTCATAGTTTACTTCACTTTTAGATTTTGATCATTTTAATTCCGATATTTATGATTAACCACGTAACAATGATTTTGAGAAACGAAAACTTTATTATTGAAATAAAAATGTGCATATGAAAATAAACATTACGATTTCAAACAATTAAGTATGTTTTCAAAATGCATACTGTCACGCTGATAGCCTGTTGCCTGCACTTGAATGGTGAATGGGAGGCACGCTTCAATTACCAGTTGAGAAATAAAAATAGTAGCTATTTTTAATCGTGCACCAAAACTGTTTTGACCACACGATTGCATTTAAAATTGTTGCACAATGAATGGGCTTATAAAAGTACTTGTTTTACTCCAGCAGTAACCAGCTGAGGAGCTGCAGGACAAATCCAGCTCAAAGTAGTCTCTGTGTGCTGTGGGACAGGTGTTGGATAAATAAGATACATGATGACTAACAAATACACACAGGACAATTTAATTCCACTAAATAATGCAAATTAACCTATAGACCGATAAGCATGATGGTTAAATGTATTTCCATCAATGAATAAAAGCATTATTTTGTAATGGGATTTTTTTTTGTATATGATTTTTGGGGTCAGCAACTTTTATCGGCTTTTCGTGTATTTTTTTAACGGCCAAAAGCAGGCAATTGCAGGCTAACAGAAACCCTGACACACACACACACACACACACACACACACACACACCTGTTTCCCAATGCTGGATGTGTTTATTGAATGGGATCCTCCTTACTCAGGAGGAGAATGAGAAGAAGGCGTTGAAGGAGCCCTCAGACACTGAGCCAGCATCAGCAGAGAGGTGAGCAACACACCTACCTGTCAGGATTTCTCATTGATATATTAACGTTCACAACCTTTTCTAATCATAACTTCTTCCTGCTGTGTTCAGTACGGCACGCAAAAGGAGGGGTCCCCTAAAGCACATCAAATTTGGGACCAACATCGACGTGTCGGACGAAAGAAAGTACGTGTGTCAGTTTTAGTGTGGTCAGACATATCATTGGTCACACGTTGCAAAACCCCATTGCCGCCTCTGAACACCCCCCCTTTCTCCTCTCCCCCAGGTGGAAGCTACAGCTGCAGGAGCTGAGTAAGCTGCCTGCGTTCGCCAGGGTGGTGTCTGCTGGCAATCTGCTCAGCCACGTAGGACACACCATCCTGGGCATGAACACTGTCCAGCTCTACATGAAGGTCCCCGGCAGCAGGATACCAGGTAGATACACTGTATATATCAGGCTAGGGCACGGTACAGCTATACAGTTTATAGGACAAACTTTTGCAGTTTCTAGTGCGTTTTATATTGATACCTATGAGTTACAAAGACAGACTGTAAAAGATGCACTATGCAGAAATCCCTCCGTCATTTCCTGGTTGTTAAAATAGTTCACCTAATTTCACTTTGTGACAAAACAAGCAAGTATAGTATAGAGAATCATTAAACCGCTGTGAAAAAAGATTTTCCTTTATCAAAAATCGAGTATTTTCAGCTGTTTGAAGCTGGTGTACAAAACCAAAAGTAAAAGAAGCAAGAACTAAACTTCAGAACGGGAAGCATAGAAATAGTTAACATAGAACAGATCTACCGCTTCTTAGACTTGATTTCAAAGATAATGACAGATCTATAAATTGACATTTCTATGTGAATTTTCTTGGGTCGCCCAAAAAGTTACATAATACAGTTTTAACTCGGTCTTGCTTTATCTCTGTGGTCCAGGTCATCAGGAACACAATAACTTCTGCTCTGTCAACATCAACATCGGCCCTGGGGACTGTGAGTGGTTCGCTGTGCCAGAACCCTACTGGGGAGTGATGAGCGACTTCTGTGAAAAGTAAGGATAGTAGCTAGTGATAATGCATTATACAAATCAAATCACATTTTATTTGTCACATACACGTGTTTAGCGGATGTTATTGCGGGTGTAGCGAAATGCTTGTACTTCTAGCTCCGACTTCTATCTAACAACATATACCCAATACATACAAATCTAAGTAAGGAATGGAATTTAAGAATATATACATATATGGACAAGCAATGACAGAGCGGCATGGACTAAGATACAGTAGAATAGTATAGTAGTGAGTAGTGCAAGATATGTAAACATTATTAAAGTGACTAGTGTTCCATTTCTTAAAGTGGCCAGTGATTTCTATAGGCAGCAGCAGCCTCTATTGTGCTAGTGATGGCTATTTAACAGTCTGATGGCCTTGAGATAGAAGCTGTTTTTCAGTCTCGGTCCCAGCTTTGATGCACCTGTACTGACCTCGCCTTCTGAATGATAGCGGGGTGAACAGGCAGTGGCTCGTGTGGTTGATGTCCTTGATGATCTTTTTGGCCTTCCTGTGACATCGGGTGCTGTACAATAGTGATGCTGTCTGTGAAAGAGAAAGGGGGGTGGGGGTCTGCGAGAACAGGGGAGAAAAGGATATATACAAAAGAAAGAAAGACGTCAGACGGGGTCAATGTGAGGGTCGGCTTCTTTTGTGCCTCGCTTTGAACACTAAGAACAAACTGTCTGAATGAAAAAGGAGCGATTCGGAGAGATATTGAAAGGAAGGAAAGGAGCTGAATTGAAGCCTGGAATGAGGACATTAATGAAACAAGGTTAATGTAACTAACCCATCTCTTCTTCTCTCTGTCCTTCCACAACAAAACTATTCTGATTTTAGGAATGGCCCAAAAGAAAACAGAAAATACTGAAATTAGATCGTCTTTAATACCAGTCCTAATTCCACATCTCTTACAGAAATGAGAAAAGCCTGAAAATAAATAATCTTACCAGTCCTAACTCTCCATCTCTCCCCTCCCTCTCTCCCCGCCAACTCTCCCTCAGAAACAACATCAACTTCCTGATGGGTTCGTGGTGGCCCAACCTGGAGGACCTGTACGAGGCAGATGTGCCTGTTTACCGGTTCATCCAGCGGCCAGGGGACCTGGTGTGGCTCAACACGGGCACTGTCCACTGGGTCCAGGCCATTGGCTGGTGCAACAACATCGCCTGGAACGTAGGACCCCTCAGTGGTAAGCCTCTGATGCAGCTTTTGCTTGCTCCTTCGGGTTACTGTAAAAAAAAATATATTTATGAATAGAATTTCATACATTGATATCATTATCTCTTGAATCAGTTTGTCAGATGTTCAGACCTGTAAAGTGGTGTCATTAATTTCACTACCGCCACAGCTCACCAGTACAAGCTGGCCGTGGAGCGCTACGAGTGGAACAAGCTCCAGAGCGTCAAATCCCATGTACCCATGGTGCACCTCTCCTGGAACATGGCCCGCAACATCAAGGTGTCCGACCACAAGCTCTTCGAGATGATCAAGTAAGTCTCCATCTTTTACAGTTTGTTTCACGCTGTGAGCAGATCTCCTGCCACGTGTTAAAACAAGGAAGTGTTCTGCCCCTTGAGGCGTTGTAGTACGACTGTGCGTGTCCAGTCTGTCATGAGGGGTGGAGAGTGACAGGGCTACATCTCTCCCGAGGACCCAGAACCCTAGGGATTGGAGTGATTGATAGCTCCCACAGATTGGATGATGACGTGCATTTAGATGAGGTGGCTGCTGGAAAAAGTAACCTTGAGAAATGTGTAGGTGTCTGAATTTCTTTGAATATCATGATGTATGTGATGTAGGTTCTGCCTGCTGAGGACGCTGAAGCAGTGTCAGTCGGTGAAGGAGGCTCTAGCCGCTGCAGGGAAGGAGACGGTACTGCAGGACAGGAACAGGGATGAGCCTGCACACTACTGCACCATCTGTGAGGTACGTCACGGGCCCCGGCCCATGAGATTGGTGAGGTGTCTGTTGAGAGGGTGGATGTGTGGTTGAGAGAGAGTGGGGTGTCGTGTGATGGAGTGTTGGCCTGGGAGTGTGAGGTGTTGGTGAGGGTGTGTGTTGTGTGTGGAGAGTGTGTGGTGTGTGGTAGAAGATGTGTGTGTGTTGGTTGGAGAGGTGTGTGTGTGTGTGGTTGAGAGGAGTGGTGTTGTTGAGTGTGTGTGTTTGGTTGAGGAGAGTGTGTGTGGGTGTGGTGTGAGGAGAGGTGTGGTGTGGTGAGAGGAGTGGTTGTGGTGTGTGGGTGAGTGGAGTGTGTGGTGTGTTGGTTGAGAGAGTGTGTGTGTGTTGGTTGAGAGGTGTGTGTGTGTGTGTTGGTTGAGAGTGGTGTGTGTGTGTTGGTTGAGAGTGTGTGTGTGTGTTGGTTGAGAGGTGGTGTTGTGTGTTGGAGAGGTGTGTGTGGTTGGTTGAGATGTGTGTGATGTGTGTGTGTTGTGGTTGGTGTGAGTGTGTGTTGGTGAGGGGTGTGTGTGGTGGTTGGTGGTGAGTGTGGTGTTGTGGTTGGTTGAGTGGAGTGTGTGTGTGGTGTGGGAGTGTGTGTGTGGTGTGTGGTGAGGTTGTAGAGGTGTGTGTGTGTGTGTGGTGAGGAGTGTGTGGTGTGGTGTGTAGGGTGTGTGTGTGTTGGTGGGTTGTGTGTGTGTGTGTTGGGGTGTGGTGTTGGTGGTGTGGGTTGAGTTGGGTGTGTGTGTGTTGTGTGTGGTGTGGTTGGTTGAGAGAGTGTGTGTGTGTGTGTTGGTTGAGTGTGTGTGTTGGTTGAGAGAGTGTGTGTGGGTTGTGTGTGTGTTGGTTGAGAGAGTGTGTGTTGGTTGTGAGTGTGTGTGTTGGGCCGCATTCGAAGAGGACAATGTGTGCGCATTTATCTATTTGCCAACAGTGAACCACAATGCCTGATATCATAACCATTACAGATAACGAATCCTAAATAAATCACAGACAGTGTCACCAGCAAAGCACCCCCACACCATAACACCACCACCTCCATGCTTTACGGTGGGAAATACACATGCAGAGATCATCCGTTCACCCACACTGCATCTCACCAAGCCACGGCGGTTGGAACCAAAAATCTCAAATTTGGACTCCAGACCAAAGGACACATTTCCACCGGTCTAATGTCCATTGCTTGTGTGTCTTGGCCCAAGCAAGTCTCGTCTCCTTTAGTAGTGGTTTCTTTGCAGCAATTCGACCATGAACGCCTAATTCACACGGTCCCCTCTGAACAGTTGATGTTGAGATGTGTCTGTGACTTTTACTCTTTGAAGCATTTATTTGGGCTGCAATTTCTGAGGCTGGTAACTCTAATGAACTTTCCCTCTGCAGCAGAGGTAACTCTGGGTCTTCCATTCCTGTGGCGGTCCTCTTTGAGAGCCAGTTTCATCATATAGCTTGATGGTTTTTGCGACTGCACTTGAAGAAACGTTCAAAGTTATTGAAATGTTCCATATTGACTGACCTTCATGTCTTAAACTAATAATGGCTGTCGTTTCTCTTTGCCTATTTGAGCTGTTCTTGCCATATGGACTTGGTCTTTTACCAAATAGGGCCATCTTCTGTATACCCCCCTACCTTGTCACAACACAACTGATTGGCTCAAATGCATTAAGAAGGAAATAAATTCCACAAATTAACTTTTAAGAACGCACACCTGTTAATTGAAATGCATTCCAGGTGACTACCTCATGAAGCAGGTTGAGAGAATGCCAAGAGTGTGCAAAGCTGTCATCAAGGCAAAGGGTGGCTACTTTGAAAAATCTCAAATAGATTTAGATTTGTTTAACATTTTTTTGGTTACTACATGATTCCATATGTGTTATTTCATAGTTTTGATGTCTTCACTATTATTCTACAATGTAGAAAGAAACCCTTGAATGAGTAGGTGTTCTAAAACTTTTGACCGGTAGTGTGTGTGTATATATATATTTTTCTATATAGATACTTCAAGGGGTCTTAAAATTCTAAATCAAATAGCTAAATGATCCTTGGTATTATCTTAAAACAATTCCATGTAGCTTAGTAGAACCCTCCCCCGGCTTACAGGGCTTAGACTGTACAGGGTTAAAGATCGAGTTTTGATGTCAGTTCGAGTTCTCGATTACTCATGGCCGTCCCTAGTTACTGACTGGTGTGTGTTTGTTGACTACTGTGTTCCAGGTGGAGGTGTTTAACCTGCTGTTTGTGCGGAGTGAGCTCCTCTCCAGGAAGCAGAAGCAGTATGTGGTGCACTGCCAGGACTGTGCCCGGAAAGGCAGCGCCGAGCTGGACAACTTTGTGGTTGTAGAGAAACACCGGATGGACGATCTCATGCAAGTCTACGACCAGTTCACATTAGTAAGTCACACTTTTGATTTTGCTCTATTGACATTGTTGGGATGTACATAGAGATCCTATTAAATGACTACTTCCTCATTTTATGGGTATGTACTTATGTAGCATTGTCTAGTGTGTTGAGTGAGTTCCATGTGCATTCTATAAAATACCTTTTTGTTTCATGCGTTGAATCGGTATTGAACTCTCCCCCCTCTTTCTCGCCAGGCCCCCCCACTGCATTCATCTTCATCTTGACATTAGACATCCCTTCGACTTCTGTGGGGCGACCCAAGCATTACAGGAACTTTCATTTCAAACGAAAAACGGACCATTTCTGATATTCAGGAAAGTCGACAGTCTCCCCGTATGGCTGTTCTCCACAGCGACGGCTGGAGGCAGCAACGGCTGCGTGTGTCTATGCAACCTGTCAAAAAGTGCGCCGTGTCAACCCCCCTCTTCCCCCTGGGGGGCGCCAGAGAGCGCACTTCCCAACACAGGACTCCCTCCCCTCTTGTAACAATGGTTCAGCTCTTTTAATGGAGGACTTAATCCAAAAACTTTTGGGAAAGGGGCGGGAATTATTATTGAGTGAAGATGTTTTGTAGATATTGTATCTGTCACAACTGGCAACATCACCCTAAAAGACTACTGACTGGCCAACCTGTTCTCTCTTTTTTATTCTGTTAACAGGCTGAGATGTGATCCCTTTGTTTTCCTGAACCTCTAAGGAGCACTAGCCTAACTGGTCTTTTTCTATGGTAGATAGTAATTTTAAGACTCTTTGGATGGCAAAATCAACAAAAAAAATGGTAATGTGAAGAGTTTAGGTGATTATATATCTATTTTTTTTTACAGCTTTTATGTTTTATCTTTGTTGTTATTTTGGAACTATGACGTTCAGTTTTTTGTTGTTTCTTAGGTAAAAAAAAAAAAAAAAGCATTTTGGGGGGCAAATGAATAGCCAAGTCACAAAGAAAAATGGGTTGCACATTGACCTAAAGGAGAATTTTGCTTTTTTACAACCAAATCTCTATTTTTGATGTAAATGGCATGTTATAGAAGGGTCCAGACACTTTTTTGCAGTTTCACCTGGTTTTGAGAAACTTACCGCAACCAGCGATTAATTCCCTCATCCTCGTTGTGCAGTATGGGGGCTCTGAAAAAACATGAACAAAGGTTCCAAATGCTCTCAGTATAGTGATGCAGGTCTTTAGATAGTGTACACATGAAATTGTCATTCCGAACTTTATCCGCAACGTTATATTCCATTTTGTTGCGACTTGAGCGATACCTCCGTCCATTCTACAGTCAACTGCCTAAATAAAGGAAACACTTGAGGAAATGAGGCATACAAAGTATATTGAAAGCAGGTGCTTCCACACAGGAAGTTCCAGACAGTTGTAGAATCTATGCCAAGGTGCATTGAAGCTGTTCTGGCAGCTCTTGGTGACCCAATGCCCTATTAAGACGCTATGTTTCCTTTTATTTTGGCAGTTATCTGTAGCAGCAGGCTACACGGAGAATGAAACAGCTGGATAGGGGAGACGCACAAAATGAAATATAGCATTGCGGATAAAGTTCGGAATGACACCATTTCAAAGACCTGCATCACGTTTTTTCAGGGCCCCCATACTGCACAACAAGGATGAGGAAAGTATTCGCTGGGTGCGGTAAGTTTCTCAAAAACAAGTGAAATTGCAAAAAAGTGTCTGGACCCTTCTATAACATGCCATTTACATCAAAAATACAGATTTGGTTGTGAAAAAGAACTTCTCCTTTTAAGGAATAAAGTTTGATTTGTGATTTTTGTTATGTTTCTAATCTTGATGTAAATTTACACTATTTATAAATACATATTTATTGCTTGAAAATATTTGTTGATGGAATGCTGTTATTTTTTTCCAGAGTACCTGCCATTAAATTTGAAGGAGTTTTGTCATTTTAACACAACTCCTCTTACATTTTCTATATATAAATAAAATTGCTTAGCAAGCGTTGTACAGAAACTGACATTTAAAATTGTTTTATTGTTTTGAAGAATGTTTTATGACGAGTCATTAAACACAATTGTCAAATAATCCACGGACTTCATTACTTTCACCAGTGTGTTTGCATATGTCTGCAGAAACAATGAATTGTTTTACATTCATTTATTTTGTGCTGCAGTGTTCTTTCAACTACTAAGACATAATGTACATTTCAAGGCCACGGTGAACAAAGGAACCCAGTAAAATATTCTTTCTAGACAAAAAAAAAGACCCAATCCAAATAGTGGACCTCATTAAAAACGCATTGGAAATCACAACTCTGCTTCTATAACTTGTATTTATTTGATGATACAAAAGCATTGTAACAGGGTCTCAATTGGGGGGAAATACTTACCGTGAGATTAAGTGACAATGGAGAGATTATTTGAGTAGGGCCTAAAACCCAGCAGACAATGTAGCTGTAGAATGACCCACACAGAATTCTACACTGTATGCCAGGTCAACACCCTACCAGCAAACTCAACTATAGATAGCTGTATTTAAAATACAAGATGTACGAAATCCGAATCACTGTACATGTACAGTGGAGAAAAAAGTATTTAGTCAGCCACCAATTGTGCAAGTTCTCCCACTTAAAAAGATGAGAGAGGCCTGTAATTTTCATCATAGGTACACGTCAACTATGACAGACAAAATGAGAGAAAAAAAAATCCAGAAAATCACATTGTAGGATTTTTAATGAATTTATTTGCAAATTATGGTGGAAAATAAGTATTTGGTCAATAACAAAAGTTTCTCAATACTTTGTTATATACCCTTTGTTGGCAATGACACAGGTCAAACGTTTTCTGTAAGTCTTCACAAGGTTTTCACACACTGTTGCTGGTATTTGGCCCATTCCTCCATGCAGATCTCCTCTAGAGCAGTGATGTTTTGGGGCTGTCACCAGGCAACACAGACTTTCAACTCCCTCCAAAGATTTTCTATGGGGTTGAGATCTGGAGACTGGCTAGGCCACTCCAGGACCTTGAAATGCTTCTTACGAAGCCACTCCTTCGTTGCGAGGGCGGTGTGTTTGGGATCATTGTCATGCTGAAAGACCCAGCCACGTTTCATCTTCAATGCCCTTGCTGATGGAAGGAGGTTTTCACTCAAAATCTCACGATACATGGCCCCATTCATTCTTTCCATTACACGGATCAGTCATCCTGGTCCCTTTGCAGAAAAACAGCCCCAAAGCATGATGTTTCCACCCCCATGCTTCACAGTAGGTATGGTGTTCTTTGGATGCAACTCAGCATTCTTTGTCCTCCAAACACGACGAGTTGAGTTTTTACCAAAAAGTTATATTTTGGTTTTATCTGACCATATGACATTCTCCCAATCCTCTTCTGGATCATCCAAATGCAAACTTCAGACGGGCCTGGACATGTACTGGCTTAAGCAGGGGGACACGTCTGGCACTGCAGGATTTGAGTCCCTGGCGGCATAGTGTGTTACTGATGGTAGGCTTTGTTACTTTGGTCCCAGGTCTCTGCAGGTCATTCACTAGGTCCCCCCGTGTGGTTCTGGGATTTTTGCTCACCGTTCTTGTGATCATTTTGTCCCCACGGGGTGAGATCTTGCGTGGAGCCCCAGATTGAGGGAGATTATCAGTGGTCTTGTATGTCTTCCATTTCCTAATAATTGCTCCCACAGTTGATTTCTTCAAACCAAGCTGCTTACCTATTGCAGATTCAGTCTTCCCAGCCTGGTGCCGGTCTACAATTTTGTTTCTGGTGTCCTTTGACAGCTCTTTGGTCTTGGCCATAGTGGATTTTGGAGTGTGACTGTTTGAGGTTGTGGACAGGTGTCTTTTATACTGATAACAAGTTCAAACAGGTGCCATTAATACGGGTAACGAGTGGAGGACAGAGGAGCCTCTTAAAGAAGTAGTTACAGGTCTGTGAGAGCCAGAAATCTTGCTTGTTTGTAGGTGACCAAATACTTATTTTCCACCATAATTTGCAAATAAATTCATAAAAAATCCTACAATGTGATTTTCTGGATTTTGTTTTCTCAATTTGTCTGTCATAGTTGACGTGTACCTATGACGAAAATTACAGGCCTCTCATCTTTTTAAGTGGGAGAACTTGCACAATTGGTGGCTGACTAAATACTTTTTCCCCCCCACTGTATTTGATAATTGATACATTCACAATATTCAAGACATGAAGAACATGGCAGCCATCAGAGACCCAGTAGCCAGATGTAGCTGCTGACTGCCCCACAGGATCTACACTGACTACTGAGCAGCTGATAGACACCAACACGGTATGGCTGCCCGTCCGTCCACAAGGACCCAAAATGGCCGCCTTGCCTGGCACAGTCCAAGCAAAGACGGCAGTCTCTTGTCACTGGGTTAGCACTGAATACCTGGAAGCTTGTGACTTATTTAAACATCCAGCTGAGGATCACTTGAGTCTAATCTAATAAGGCCTTGTTAAGGGTGTCTCTGTCTGTTTTTAGCCTCTGAGATGGAGTACTGCTGGAGTCCAGCTGTATACCGGTTGGAGGGTAAAGAAGAGCCTTGCAGTAAGTAATCCCGACTGGGCCACTCATTCACCTACAAAGAGGGTGTTTTTCTGCAGGGAGTATTGTCACTGTGCAGCCAGTCTGTGGCTGTGTATAGCAGCGCTGTCATCAGGTCCAGGCAGCTTCATACCTATACAGTGAACAGAGAGAGAGGTCAACTGCATAGAATTTACATTCAATGCAGAAATTGACATGCAGTCAATGGAGCTCAATTGACCACAGCTCTTCCAGGTTAATAGTTCCTATCTGTCTTATTTTTATACTGAGGAGTTCTAGTCAGAGGGAGATTGATTCTCCTTTAATCAGCCTGTTGTGACATGGAAACAGAAGATCAAAGGGAATCTGGTGGCCTTGGGTGGAAGAGAATGGAAAGTCAAACGGGAGCAAAGTTCTACCCCACCTTAACCTAACCCCAACCCCCAGGTATTAGTGATAAACCCTGTTATTTTCCCATACATTTAGCCCCTCCCACACATGTTTGTGCAGTGTGACCTTATGTGATGGTGTCTGAGTGAATTTGACACATGATGTAGGTCTCACTAGGAGGGAGATTATACAATATGATGCCATAGACCCCTCAAACTCAACTCTGGACCTCGAACCCAGTTCCATTGCATTGTTCCCTTCTAATCAGGGACTGATTTAGACCAAGAACACCAGGTGTGTGCAATTAATTATCAGGAAGAACAGAAA